ATGGATACCAGGCTTCCTGGCGGCGGCTCGGTTCTCTCACGCTCGGGAACGAGGTAAGTCTTTGGCTTGCTGATTTTTTCATGTTCGAATTAATAAACTGAACCGCCAATATTATGGGGGAATGGGAACACAACATACAATATTCTCGCTAGCCTATTTCGTAACAATGCAAACAAGGAAAATTGTGCCGCAAAGATAGCCACAGCCGTTCCAATAGCAGTTAGGAAACTGACTATACCAAGTCCTTGCTGTTGCTGGGTCTTGGAGTCGTCATCCCGAGTAAAGATTGCCACGGGTTGCGACAGAGCGGAGATTGCTTCGGCCAAGGAGCTGGATAGCCAGAAGCTTGACCTAGCATCCACGCTTGCAAGTATATGTGAAGCCATGAGGGAAGGCTGATCTGGTTCGGTAGAATGTCGTCGTGAGCAAGGTGAGTAGTCTCATGTCCCTACAGCCTGGCGGGCAAAGAATAGGGTCAACCCCCCAGGCCAGGTGGGTGGATGATGGAGACGGACGGCTAAATGAATGGGGGACAGGTCGAAAGTGATGACTGGAACATGATTTGTGCAAATGAGATAAGTTGGTGGTTGAAGGCGTAGAATACAAAGAAACATCTGCAGGGTCACTGGGACAAAAGGGTAAAAGAGCACAACGGAGCGACAGTGAATATTAAACCGGCCTGCCAGCATAAAGAGGGACGAAGGAGTAGTGCGTCATGAACTTGTCTCAAAGTTGGCACACAAACACCAATCGACCGATTTAGGCAAAGGAAGGACCTGGGCTAATGCAAGGAGTGACATCAGAGGCGACTAGCGGGACGGCAAGAGCTACCCACAGACGGGTCAACTGGTGTCTGGTGCACAGCTGGGCAGGTACCACAGGTCAACGATGCTGTAATCGTACTTCAGGCCACAGGCGGTACCTTGGCAAGCTGGGCGACTGGAAGCGCCACTGCTGGTCTGGTAGCCAACCACAGTCGTTCAATGCAGCCCGCGGTGGCACTGAGCAACTGCATGTGCTCTATTGTCGGCTCGCCCTGCAAACTCTTCGTCAAGCCGCAGCCACTACTCCGTACTACAGCCCGTTGACATGTGGCATCAATCCTGTTTTTGCATCGCGCATGGGCGTGCGTGCACAGCCTTTGTTGCAGAATGTGCTGCAGTAAATTACCGATCGTCGAGCCCATCCCTGCGCACCTGGCCCATCCGAACCAAAAAAGATGGATCCTTGGCCCAGTTTGCCAGCCAACAGCCAGTGAATATCCGCCGGCGACTGTGGCTCCAGGTTCGTCCTTGGCGGGAACCCAAGCGCTCGTCCTGAACTCAAACAAGGGATGACTGGCGGCAAGCGAAACTAAATAAACCTCCATAGCCCCGCGAATCCATTCATTCATGGGAGGGTCACGACAAAGCGCAGCGTGAACACGTTCCCTGAAGCCCCAATGGAGGGTGCGCGGATGGCCGTGATGATGACGTTTTTGATGTACATGCCACGGCGCTGAGACATCGTCGTGGCCAAGACTTGATTCAAGCACATACCGGCCAAGTCAGCCCTACCACGCCTAGCATCAAATGCCCAGCGTTGCCAACTCACCACATGTGCAAGTTCTGCATGGGACTCCAATCATGTACGTAGCACAGTCCTCGCCGTGATGCGGCCACAAATCGTACCTTTGCGGACATGCCGCTTCCATCAGGGGATTCCATGGTGCACATAGGCGATACGAATGGATGCTTGCATTTGTGCCGGCCTCAAGGTAGCACATTTCGCGTCCCTTTAAACGAGTTTTAGACAAAAGATGTCTGGTCATTTCCATGTCCAAGTATGATGTGCTGCAATAGGGTCACGTAGTAAATCCCACGTATGTGCGCTCATCATCGGTTACTTTCAAAGTGAAGAACCCAACAGTTCCACTGAAATCAAGTCCCTGTAAACTGGATATGATTCTATGTATGTAGTTCCTGGACATGTTTTGCAAATTCCGTGTAGTTGTAACGCTATGACTCAGAGTAATCCGTAACCAGTTCTTCAGTCTCATCCATGGAGACATTATTTCACGATCGCTGCTTGTAAAACTTCTGATGTATATGATTCGATATCAGGTTGCACAGCCTGGAGCGACGTCTTACAGCATTCATCCTTGACTGCAGATTCCATTCACGCAAACTGCCTCTGCAACCTCCAGAGCAGTGAGTTTTGCAGTGACATAACTTTGAGCCGAGCGAGACTAAACGAAGCTCGTGGCTTGAAATGTATGAGCCTGGTCTCGGGCTATTGGAGCGATGCTGAAGCAGTGCTGGATGTTCGTTTTTGGTCATCAGGGATGAAGCCAAGTCGCCAAAACATAAATAAGCGACATTTTGACCACCTACAGGTCATGTGCGGCCTCAATAACGCAGATCGACCTCATTCGCTTCTACTGGACGGTAGCTATATGTACGCTCAAAAGCTTCCGTGGCATTGGACAGCTACCATGTCCTGCAGAGTTCGAGATCCCAATACATCAAGTACACCTAGGTAGGTGACCAGCCGTCGCACAATCGCAAATGCAGTACAACTATCGCTTATCGACTTTGCATACCAGCATGCAAAATCTTGGTGTGACGACGCATCTTGTCCGCCCGTTTCTCCTGCTATTCACAACGGGAGTCGTTGTCTCTTCTCTCGGTGTCAAGGAAGAGGCCGGCCACCTCATCTGCCCTGTCCTATAAATACCATGCTCATCTATACTGAAGAGCCTGAGCAATGACATACGTAGTAGATACATCAAGTCAGTATGTACAAAAGATCGGTCGACCTGCAAAAGTCTACTGCAGTTGCAACACACGACATTCAGGCCCCTTTGTTGTTGCACACGGCAACAATCGAATACTAACCAAGCGCACAGATAATCAGTACAATGATGCATGCACCCTTTTACTTCGTGCGACAAAGAAATTCCCTGAGAACGCCTGTCCCTACCAAGCAAGCGGGTTAATACTAGTATTGCCCGCCCCGTGCTTGAGAGCTCGAGGCGAGAGATTCAGCACATCTTGCTCGCACTGTTCGTCAGCGCACACGAAGAAAATGAGTCACGGGACGTCTACCGTAGGTTGCAAAGGATAAGTAGATATATCAAAGGTAAAAGATAATTCACATCTGCAAAGCTGCGCAGGAATGCGCAAAGATGCATTTGCTAACAATTCGTACAAAGACAAACCAAGATGCCTCGACGGTGCGCTCTATGCCCAACACCAACGCCAATAAAAAAGTAATGTGCGTACCAATATCCAGCGCTCCTCCTTGCAGGTCGAGTCCCGTTGCTACACTCCAAAAACCATGTATTCCGGGCACCACAATCAGCATCACGTTTGAATGCCTTCAAACGATCAGCTCGGCAGATCAGCGGGTTAGGCTGCAAGTAGACTTCCCGACAGGAAATAAAGGAGCGATTATGATCCCAGGCCCTTTCTTCCTTTTTGGCAGATTTTCTCTATTGTACTCGCAATTGCGAGACCGCAAAGCCCAGTATTCGGCTGAAATTTTCCCTTTACTCTCTCGCTCGGCCATGTGAGTAACGTGCCGGTTAGAAAAGGCAGTCCAAGCAGCAGCAGCATGCCAACCCTGCTAATAAACCAGTCATGATACCAGACGATTTGTCTTGTCTTTGTTGAGGCTGATAGGTCTGATAGGGTTGGTAACCCGGCTGGAACTGTCCCTGTGGGGGTCCATATTGTCCAGGGGGATACTGTCCTTGCTGTTGATTGTAATAGCCCATCTGAGGACCGGGTTGGTAGTATGGTTGCTGCTGCTGCTGCTGTTGTTGTTGATAATATGGCTGCTGGTAGCCGCGCTGCTGATCATCTGGGAACGGCGCTGGACCGCCGCCGTAGGAAGGCTTCGGGGCCACGGGTGGAGGAGCACCGCCATACGGGGGAGGCTCTTCGACCTTGCTGCTCATGTCGATGGTATTCAATGACTGTCGCGATGGAGGGGGGTCGAGTGCAGGTTTCGGGGGCGATTACCGGTAGGTTGGGTACAGAGGAATTGTTATTTCAGAGCGGCGAAAGAAAAAAAAAAGGGGGATGTTGAGTGAGGAGAACGTGGCAGGCCCAACAGGTGGCACATAGCTGGTCGCCAAGAAGGCCGAGCCTCGAATTTATTCGAGGTGGTCGAAACTCTGGGCGTGTCACAGGACGAACCAGACCGGACTCTACGCCACGCGGGGCTTTCGGTAGTGTCTCTCTGAGATTACGCGTGCGGCTTCCTGATTACGTGGTAGCGCAACGTCTTGAGCTGCGCCGCTCTTGGCCAAGCTTGGGCTCTTGGCTGGTAAACAACAGGCAAGCAGGCGACGAGGGTGGCAATTAACTCTCCCGCCTCGCGACGATGGTAACCCGAGCCAATGCCACTATTGTCCGAGGAGAACATACCAGATCGACGAAATGGTCTGTTTATCCGTTGGGTCCGTAGCTGCCGATAATGTGGCAGCTCGTGTGAGACGAGACCCCGGATATTCGATCCCCACTCGGTACATGGGCATCAAATGAACATGTCTTAGTGTATGGTTTCTGGCATATTTCCGGTGATAGTCTTAGTACAATGGTATTCCTCTCACAATTTTGCATTCAGTGCCCAGAATAAAAAGTCTGTCTTCCGCCCTCCTTGCCTTTCTTCCACTACTCCACGAATAAGAGTACAGTGAGCATTAGTAATAAATCAGAAGTGCGTTGTTTGCAATGTGTCCTAAACCGACGTTGTCCAGCGACCCAGATGGGTTCAGGGTAGCTAGCTAGATGAGCACACGTCACGTGATATGACTCAAGCCACACGTCCTGTGGCTTGACTTCTCGCCCCACGACGACCAACAGTCATCGCACGAAAAAGTGTTAAATTCGTCGATATCCAAGAAACCCCACGATCGCAACGACCAGCCCCGAGGCGCGAAATTACACCCATAATCTGCCTGAACCACGATTACGACGCAGGGGAGGCATATAGAAAATTCGAAAATCGCAACCATGGCTACGACGGCACCCCCGAAGGCCAAGTGAGTAACCCTGAAGAGAAGCATCGCCAGCCTGGTTTCGCATAGCTAACCCCACCCTCAAAATAGGCATGACTGGGCCGACGACGACGATGTCGAAGAGACCACCGATCTCCCTCCCCCCCAGACCATCTCCAACAAGGACGGAACCAAGACCATCATCACATTCCGATACAATGACCAGGGCCAGAAAGTAAAGACGACCCGTCGAGTTCGCTATGTTACGCACAAGGAGACGGTCAACCCCCGCGTCGCCGACAGAAAGAACTGGTCCAAGTTCGGCCTCAGCCAAAAGGACGGCGCTGGCCCTGCACCCGATACCACATCGGTCGGCGAGAATATCATCTTCCGACCCAGCATCAACTGGCGCAAGGATGCCAAGGACGAGAGCCAGGACCCCAACGCGCAGTCGATGAAGGACAAGCTCAAGGACAAGAAGGTCAAGTGCCGTATTTGCAACGGCGAACATTTCACGGCCAGATGTCCCTACAAGGATACCATGGCGCCCATCGGAGAGAATGGCGCTGCAGATGTTGCTGCCGGCATGGGCGACGAGCCTGCGCCTTCTGGTGCCGGAGGTGCTGCCAAGAAGGGCTCCTATGTTCCTCCTGCTCTGCGTGGCGATCGTGCCGGAGCGGTTGGCGAGCGCATGGGAGGGTCCAAGTACGGCGAGAGAGACGACCTTGCTACGCTTCGCGTCACCAACGTAAGTGTCGTCCTGCAATTCTTGTACACGCGCCGCCTAACTAACTTTTTTCAATAGGTTTCCGAGATGGCAGAGGAGTCAGAGTTACGGGATATGTTCGAGCGATTTGGAAGAGTCACCAGAGTGTTCCTTGCTAAGGACAGGGAAACTGGTATGGCTAAGGGGTTCGCTTTTATCAGTTTCGCGGACCGTGGAGATGCCGTCAAGGCATGCAGCAAGATGGATGGATTTGGTTTCAAGCATCTTATTCTCAGAGTCGAGTTTGCTAAGAAGGCTCAGTAGACTGTTTCTGTTGTCATAGGGTATTAGGGATCCGGGGTTAATGCATTTACATTACGGTTTTCTTTCTTTCTTTCTGCTCTTTTCATTCACCATCCAGCCAGGCCTGATACATCACTCACTTTCCCGTGCATGCCTATTACGACTGAGATGGATTTTCTTTACGCAATGTCTGGTCTTGCGGTGTGCTCGGCAAGTAAGTCCCTGGACCGTCGGGAAGCCGGAACCGAGCCTTGAAGCCATGTGGTTTGGGACTGACGTCCGGACGAACGAGGGGCAATAATTGGTTCTCGTTGATCGAGAAGGACGGGATTCTTCATGTGGAGGAGGTTCCGAGGCCAGGGAAAGATCGGCGGATGGCCTGGTGACCATAGTTACGGTATGATAGTATAATGCTGAACACATGTCCCTATCCCATTGGAGTTTTCTCTGAAAAATGAAACAAGGCTGCAAAGCTCTGCCGCATTGCAAACAGAAATTCCTCCCTCTTCTGGCCAGCTCTGTGCGGCCCCGCACCGGTAAACCAGGCGACGAGTGGGGGAACTGGCCGAGTTTCGTATTTTGCTCGACGGAAGCATTCAACGTTTGCTGCAAGCAACTTCGGTAGCCTTGAACGTTCTTTGGTTGACCAGTCTGCTCAAGTACATAGATGTGAGTGGGCTCTTTTGGTTTGGGCTGTTTGAGTGATGTAGCAATGAGTGGAAGTCATTGGCTGTGCTAACAGGGCGTCGACGCTCCGCTTGCGTTGTTACTTGGGCTGCGTTTGTAAACAAGAAAACTTGAAGTGGAAAGACAATCGGCAAATGGCGCACGGAGCAGTAGCACCGTAACAATCTATTGGTGTAGTGCGGAGCGTACAGGGGAGAAGGCGCTGATGGGATTCTAGATCATGACAAAAATAGGCTAGTGCTGGGGGCAATTTAAAAAATTGATCTCCCAAGTAGTGAACAGCCAGGGCAATTTTGTTGAGCTTGACACCTCGCCTTTTTGGCTTGTGAAGATGGACTTGGGCTGTCGACATCTCATGCAGGCGGGGAAACACGACGTCGCATGCCTTCCGTCGCGGATTGTGCGAGCCTATCAGCCCGTGTGGCCTTTCATCCGGGTCCATGTCGTCTGTACTGAGAACAGAGAACAATACACGAGTTAACCTGACTGAGGATAAATCTGGTGCTACTTGAGATATATGTATGTATGTACCCGGTAGTTTTCTAAAGCTGCTGCATTATTTATGCTCCAGGAGTGCCGTGACGGAAAAGTACGGTAAACTGTACACTTGAGCATGGAAGGTGCGGGCTGCTAATGCTGTGGCACGCCTTCCGTCCAATGAGCCCTTCTTCAACCCCTTCAGACCCCCCAACAACTCCGAGTTGCATTGCATGTGCTCCATACTCTCGCAACCTTCGAAACCCATGTCCTACACAGCGAGTATTGCTAGCCACATGGCTGTCCGCACATGAAAGCAAAGTTGCCCGTCTTCTGACATCACCCGTCCACGGAGCACAGGCGTATTATCGATCTTGCGCCGAAGTGTGCGTTAATTGCCGGCCCCTGCAGCCGTTACTGGCCTGATTTGACGGCATCGCCTGCACCGCATATTCGCCTTGCATCTTCACAAGGACTCATGACACCTTGTGCCGAAGCCAAACGAACACTTCCCGCGATAACCTGGCCCATTCTTTGTGCCAGAGTGGAGGCTGCAGCGGCCATCAGCCTTTCCGCTGCGTTTGAACCTATGCCCACGCGAGCAGCTTCCCTAGCGTTCCAGTCCGACTACTTTAGTAGTAATCCGAGACCCTGCGACTATATCCAAAGAGGGCAATTGGAATTCGTCTACTCGGTGGGATAGCGTAGCATAGCCAACACGTCGAGAGTCCCTTGGGCCGCGAGCCCACATTTATCCATCACGCCTCCTACAACTCCCTCGTTCTTCGTGCCTCTCCGCGGCTTCCTGTTTCTTTCACCTCCCTTTCCTCCGGGGCAAGCTTTCTCCTGCTTCATGGATAATCCTTCTCGGTGCTCATTGCAGACATGAGTAAAAGCACCGGTGTCGACGCTGAAGCGTCTGAGCTCCGTCAACGGCAGACGAGAGATTCTCCCATTGTTACCAACCAACCACAGGCTGTCGCCGTGGAAAGCCTGTCTACTGAAGACGGCCCGGACCATGACAAGCCCAAGTCAAATTCAAAGACATTTGGGCGAACCCCGGATGGCACAAGTAAGTGACCATTTGCCATCGTCGCTGAGACCAATTGGCCTCTCTGTCAGCGCAGATTCCAACTAACCTGTTGTTCTGTCTGGCAGTCTTTATTGTGCCAACTACCCATGATATGGTATCGCAGCTTCTGGACCCACGGCAACCCAAGAACCTGTCTGATGCCGTTGTCCTCGGGATACTGGCGTTTATGATTCTAGTCGCTTATTCCCTACCGGCCGGATGGAAGCGACCCGTCTTCGCCGTCACCTTCTTATTCTGGAGAGGCTGTTACAACGTAGGAATCGGTGTGTTATTACATATTCAGTCCCGCCACCGACGTCTGATAACTTGGGCCAAACGCTGGAAGCTCTTTGAAGATCCCAAAACGGGTAACAACCCTCGACCTTGGCTCTACAACCTCCTCAAGCGAGAACTCGAAGCAAAAATACCGGAAGACTACGAATTCGAAAAGGCACCTTTGGAGTACAACACATGGTTAGTCTTCCGGCGGGTTGTTGACTTGATCTTGATGTGTGATTTTGTGTCATATTGCCTATTTGCTATCGTCTGTGGTCACACCCCGGAAGGGGAGAATATTATTGTTGGGGCTGCTCGCTGGGCCCTGGGTATTGCCTTGGTTGGATTCAATCTCTGGGTTAAGCTGGATGCCCACAGAGTCGTCAAGGACTTTGCGTGGTACTGGGGTGACTTCTTCTATCTCATCGATCAAGACCTGACCTTTGACGGCGTGTTCGAAATGGCGCCGCACCCCATGTACTCGATCGGTTATGCTGGATACTACGGCATCTCCATGATGGCCGCCAGCTATGAGGTTCTTTTCATCTCCATAATCGCGCATGCCGCCCAATTCGCCTTCCTGGTGACTGTGGAGAATCCTCACATCGAAAAGACCTACAACCCTCCTCTACCGAGAAAGAGGGACCTTTCCCGGCTTCAAAGTGATTCCAATGTGAGTCCCGACATGTCCGACCACAACTCCACCGACCGCCCGGCTTCTACTCCCAAGATGGCTACGCAAGAGCCACCAGTCCCGGTTCACAACATGGTTGGCTTTAGAAACATGGATCTTTTCAGAGTGCCAGACTCAATGGTTGTTCTCTTGCCCATGTACGTAGCCATCCTTACCCTGGCAACCCCAACGACGCCAGCCTGGCAGGCCTTCTTCGTAGCTCACGCACTCCTGTGGCGTGTCTGGTACCACCTCGGTCTAAGCATCATTCTTGACAAGCAGTCCAAGACCAAAATGTGGACCCGTCACTTTCTCAAATATGGCGAGAGTGCGGGTGAAGCCTGGCGGCAGTGGAAGGGCCTACATCACATTAGCATGATTATGTGCAACGCGTCATTTGTTGCCGCTTGTTACAAGATGTACTCCATGCCATCGGACTGGGGCTACGGCCTTGTCCTTCTCAAACACGTCCTGGGCGGTGGCTTGATTGCCTTGCAGCTATGGACCGCCTTCAGTGTTTATGACTCACTAGGTGAATTTGGCTGGTTTTGTGGTGACTTCTTCTGGGACCAAGAGGCTAAACTTAATTATACGTCCATCTATCGATTTCTCAACAACCCCGAGAGGATCTTTGGGACGGCTGGTGCCTGGGGCGGCGCACTCATTACCTGGAGCAGAGCTATCTTTATTATGGCTCTTGTAGCACAGCTCCTTACCCTGTATTACATCTCGTACGTCGAGAGACCGCACATGCAAAAGATTTACGGCAGAAGCATGCGTGGAGAGGCTGGCCTCACCAAGTTTATCAAGCGTGCCTTGCCACCCCCGGTCAAAGGCTGGCAAGAAAGCGTCGACAAGGTCCTTGACGATACCACTCATTTCGTAGAAGATTTCATCGATAGCGCTCGCCCTAAATTTGCTTCTGGTGTCAAGACCATTGTGCGAGACACGTCTGCTCTCTTCAACATCGCGCCGGCTCGGATCACTCTTACGAAGATTCCTGCGGATTTGGCTGGGTTGGACCCGAAGTTGTACTCGCTCTCTGTTGAGGGCACGCCGTCTGCTCTGTCAAATATTCACGATAGAGCCACCGGTAAGGAGAGCTTCACTGGGCGGTTCCCCAAGCACGTCAAGACCATGGCATACGAGTATGGTGCTCCCTTGAGAGTGAAGTGGAGAGCACCTGCAAACCACAGCGACAAAGATTGGATCGGCCTGTATATGGTTACGGACAACCGCTCCAGAGAGTCTACTGAAGTTCCGTCTCTTGGGCGCTGGGCTCCCACAAACGAAGGTGTCTATGATGCCTTGACTGCTGACAGCAGCATTGTGACTCCTGAGCATCCATCTCCCAAGAGCGACTCGTCTGAGCCAGATATGGTGGAGGGTGAAGTCGAATTCAATGGAGACAAGCTCTGGTGGACGCAAGGTGTTTTTGAATTCCGATACCACCATAATGGCAGGCACATGGCCATGGCGATATCCGAGCCCTTTGAAATTCGCATTGCGCAGTTTGCAGAGGATGATGTGGATCTCGATTCCAAGGGCATGTACGCCGAAGCAGTCGAGGCAGCAATCTTACCGGTTGTGCGGAACTGTTTTGATAGAGACCCTGATATTGCACCATGTACTGTCGATGAACCATTTGGCAGTTATGTTGAGCGTGATGGCAAGTATGCCAAGAGGATAGTATATGCCATTCGAGAAATGTTTGGTATCGAGTTTGCGCCGGCTGTGGTGTTGGCAGATGGAAACGTGCAGAAACTAGCATGGAGAATCTGTAACGCAAAGGAAGTCCTCGTAAGTTGTGCAGCTATGCAACGCCGGTTGTACTGATGATTAACGCAAAAGTTTAGGCTCCATATAGCATGTCCCATTCAAAGGGATCTGCAACACCAGCGGCCCAAGAATTTGATAATAAGACTTAAAGACGGGTTAGAGAGAAAGAAAGAAAGAGATGGAATTTGATTCGAATTGAACGAAAATGGAACCTTGCAACAGGGAACATGATGCGAAATTGCTCTCTTTTTTTGAAGAAGCGAAAAAGAAAATGAGGAGATGATGCAGGTAAAATAACAAACAAGGGGCACTGGTGTCGGTGGCGTTGTTTGTTGAATTTTGTTGGTTGCGGTGTGGCAATATTATTAACACGGGAAACGTCAAGACGTAGAGCGAGTCATTAGATGGCGAATATACTATTCAGTTGCGTGTTATAAATAACTTTATGCTACGCGGAAGATGGCTGATTGTGGCAATTCAGGTGAATATTTGTCGGGAAAGCTTAGGTATGCACTTGGAGTGTGGTCTGCCGACGTCACAAGTATGGTCTGGTGTTGTTGGTCTGAAGCTATCCGAGGCTCATGTGGTGGCTGCACGGGGACTGACTGACCTCGCTTGAGGCCGCATGGGGAATGTAGCACAGCATGATGGCCCGCGTGGAGCCGCAGTGCATGACAACCCGTGGTTCCCCTTGCCAAGAACCGGGTTCTGAATAAATGAAGCTCTGGTGGTTTATGCGCGTGGAATACGAGATGAATTAGATTTTGCTGCGGACAAAGAGAATCCAATTGGAATTAATTGTACACATTGTCTGCACGGGGCGTTGTTTTCTCTCTCTCTCTCTTTTTGGCCGGGAGCCACCGTTGACAGTTCCAATCGACAATTCATTTGATTCCTGCATGCAAAGTACTTACGGTACCTGGTAGGTACTAGTACCTGAGGTAGAGAACGTGGGGGGCGTACACCACTGTACATACGCGAGCGGCTGTGGCTGCCAGGTCCCGGCTGGGGTAAACCTTGATTTCAGGCTTCGGTGGGGGCAGCCGACATCTCATCGTCATATTCTCCCCCAAGGACAACAGCTCAGCTTGTAGACGGAACATCTATCTGGTACAATATATTGCGAAACGAGTTATATGACGGGCGAGAGAAAAAAGAAATTTCATCATTTATTGTTCATTGCTCCTGTCGTGTCGGTACGTCTCGGTAAGTTGTCAAACGACTTCTACTACCGACGTCTAATTTTCCAATTCCCCTGTCCCAGACTCTAAACTCCAAAACGGGGTCAATCCATAATAGGCCCGGCAGTCGTGCTACTAGTACTACTACGTTACCCGCAGCATTATTCAGTTTCCAGTCGTGCCCCCATTAAGGGCCCAAGAATCCGGTCGTTTGACGAAGACAACAGTCCCACCAAGCATAATGCTCGGTTTCTCATCCATGCGGCATCAGTTGATCTGCAGGAACCATCATTTTGCTGTCCCCAAAGCGACTACGATGTGGGGGGTCAAGCTTGAGACCTTGTCTTAGTTAAATAGTCATGACGGTGCCAGGCGCACCGGCGTGCGCTGCCTGCTCAATCCTTCCTTGTTCCCAACGTCATCAAGGGCTCTGCGGGCATCTATTACATACGGCACTGCAGTCACGATGCTCAACGCGGCGCTCACCTCCTCGATGCTGCTGACGGCTGCTCACGCCGCTGCGAATGTGCTATACGTCTCGTCGTACAGCGGCAAAGTCACTACTCTTGACTTGAACTCTGCCAGGTCGCCCTCCTGTCGCGTCGCAGATAACGTTCCCGTGCTAAAGGCCGTCTCCTCGACGGACGGGTGCGCGGTCAGTCCTTCGTGGTTGACGCTTGACCATGCACACTCGACGCTGTTTTGTATCGATGAGGCCCTCCCTTCCGACAAGGGCTCGCTGTCGTCGTTTAAGACGAATTCCAATGGGTCTTTGACCACGCTGAACAAGGCTGTTACCTTGGGTGGCCCCGTCAGTGGTGCGTTATATGGACCGAATGGGAGTGCTTTGGCCGTCGCTCACTAGTACGTCGTGAGACATGGTCAACACCAAAAAGGAAGCTCTCGAGAGGGACTAGACAACTAACACGTTTGTTTATTGGTAGTGGTGCCGGTGCCTTGACAACCTGGGACGTCTCCAACCCTTCCAACCTGACGCTTGTGCAATCGGAACTATACCACATGGACAAGCCTGGGCCCATTGCCGACAGACAAAACGCTCCTCACCCTCACCAAACCTTGTTGGATCCTACCGGGAAGTTCATCCTCGTCCCCGACCTGGGCGCCGATAAAATCTACGTCTACGCCGTCGCCGCCAACTCTCTGAGATTGACAGTCCTCCCTCCCATCGTCGTCAAGGCCGGTAGCGGTCCTCGCCACGTCGCCTTCGCAGTCCGCGACGACAAGACCTTCATGTATCTGGTCACCGAGCTCGCGAATACCATCATCGGCTACGAGGTCACTTACCCTGACGGCGGTATCGAGTTCAAGGAACTCTTCAACATTGATTCCCATGGTGCGGGCAAACCTGTTTCCGAAGCAGTATATGCCGCCGAGATACTCGTGTCTGTGAGTCTGTCCAAATCCCCCCTTATACTCCTGTATAAAAGGGACAACAACGAGACTCAAAAAAATAAAAATAAAAATGAAATAAAATGAATCTTACTAATGGAATGTGTTTTATGGGTAGCCTGATGCCAAGTTTCTGATTGTTTCCTCCCGCGGCGACAACACCTTCTCCATCCCCAACTTCGACCGCAAGAACAGCACCAACATCACCTCCGATCCGCTCATCAACTTCTCCATCGATGGCGAGACTGGTAGCCTCACACCCATCCAGGAGGCTCCCTGCGGCGGTCGCTACCCTCGTCAGTTTTCCATAAACAAGGCTGGTACCCTGGTGGCGGTTGGCCAGCAGAAGGATGCGCGGGTTGTTCTTATCAAGCGCGACCCGGAGAGCGGCAAGTTGGGCGACTTTGTGGGCTATGCTGACGTTGCGGGGGAGATTACTTCTGTTATTTTTAACGAGTAGAGCTTCTTTTGCGCCGGCTGTATATAGGCCGTATGTACATATCGAACAATTGTATATTGCACATTGCCACCCGGTACACATCTGTGAGCGAGGTGTCCATTCCGCTTGACGTTGATGGCGAATATTCCTGTTTTGGCGTGCTAATAATCCATTCATGTCAAGGACGGGACGGGATAGCCCGTCCAGCGTACGTGTGATAGGAATCAAATATTTCCTCGACAAAGCGCCAAGAACTGTGTTTGTTCTGAACTCCGGCAAGGCCCAAGCTAGTAAGGAAGCGTTTCGAGATTCTGCTTGCCCGTGGTGATTTTCCGGTTCTGCTGCATGATGCTCCTTTGAGCTCTAGTTCGGGTCGACAGCATAGGGTGCCTGCTCCTTCCTCTTCATCGAAACTGGTCTGCTGAGGTCGCCTCCTGCTCCAGGGATATACTCGGACGCATTGTGGGTTGCCCCTTCTGCTTCTAGACGCCACCTCCGCCACTTGGTGTGTCTAGAGCGCCGTCGTGTCAAGACCGTCGAGCCATTACATCTCGATAGTTCCTCTCCAACTCATTTCTTGCGGACCAGTCGGCGAGTCTATCCTTTCTACGTGGCACTCTGCAGCAGCGAGGCCACCGGACCATGGTAGTGAAAGTGGCAGATGCTGGTCCTCGCATCATGCATTGGAGTGCTGCCATTTCCTGGTCTGAACTCTTGGCCAGAGGCACCGTACAACGCCCAATGACTGCGCCAACCAAACCTTCCACAACCTTCCGCTCATCAGCACCACCACAGCGCGGAATACCAAGTGACGGCAACTCCTACAAATCCATATGTGCTTGATGTGGCTCCATGTCCGACCGTTTCATGTCAACGAAAACCTGCCTAGCGCTGGGGCATTGGAATCCCCACACATCCTGATTGCTCGTTAATGATCGCACGGACTGTCACCCCATAAAACCCACATGGTCTGGTCTTCCTTCTAAAATCTTAATCGGGCCAAGAGCGACAACAGAACAACCGTTGAAGCTTACGTTCTCATTGTGAATTGGTCAGAGACATTGAAGCTACCCCGTCTTGACATTGAATCCTGTGTTCGATGGGCTTCTAATCTGTTTCTAGGCTTCTCCTTCAGTTCGTCGATGCAGGTCGTAACCGGTTGTCAATCTTCCCTAAAAGAGGCAAACCTGGGAGAGGAGCAACCACACAATTTGCTTAACGTTCCGAGCCCAAGGCCAGCCCGGCGGGGCTCCGTTGACTCTACCTTGGTGGTTTGCGGCTCGCGTCAGCTTTGAGCCGACCGTTCGTCAGCAACACCTAGCTCGTGCTTCTGCCAGCACCGTGAATGACAGTCAGCACAATTTCCTGACATCGTCGATATGAAGCCGTGTTCACCCTGACAATATCGGGTTTCCGCTGAGTTGGATTGGCGGCGAATTTCAATTTCTCGATGCTCCAGTGAGCACGACACGGAGGCGACAGATGCCGACTGTCAACACTGCTCGAAGTTGCTCTGGTTCTTTCCGAGGCCCCCATATCCGTCAGCATCGGTCCTCCAATATCGATGCGCTCTCTGAGTTTCTTAAAAACGGTTTATATACACCCTAAACTTTTGCATCTTTCTCGAGATACTATACTCGTCTTTTTGGATATCAGCTTGTTCCTCGACGGCTTCCATAGGGTGGGATGACTACTATAATGAACACGTCTCCCGATGGTCTCAAGGTGAACCAGACCTTGGGTGCGAGCCGAGACAAAGCCCACAACCCAATGTCGAGGTCACGCCTACTATTTCAGCCCCCAGATACGGCGCCTGCTACTCCTCTCCAGCTGGCGAATAGCGATGGATTATTGTCTTCACTTAAGAGGAAATTAAGCGATTGTACCGTCGATTATCCTCGGCGCAGAGCAACTATTGCTGTGAGTAAGCAGTCTCTATGCACGTCTGCCCGTTTTTTGTGTCACAAATGCTTACTCCGTATGTGGATTTCCATTGCCGGTAGTGTGAAGTCTGCCGGTCTAGAAAGTCTCGCTGCGACGGCAGTAAACCAAAATGCAAACTATGCGCCGAATTGGGCGCCGAGTGCGTTTATCGCGAGCCTGGTGTCAAGTTGGACGCTGGTGACAAGTTGATTCTCGAACAACTCAATCGTATTGAAAATTTACTGCAAATCAACCTGGCCGCGAACCAGGGCAGCGGCCTCCATATGTCACAAAGCTCACCATCAATCAGTAATGGGACTGCCAGTGGCGGCGACCAAGCCCTTCTATCAAACTCTTCAAATACGGCCTCTACCATTCCAAATGGCGGTCTGGGCACATGGGTCAGTGTCCCTACTGGAACAAACATCTCAACAATGCCAAGATGCCATACAAATGCAACCATGCACCTGCTTCAATGGCCTCTCATCCGTGACCTCGTCTCTACTCCGTACGACCCTCAAATCCTGTTGCAACTCGAGATGGATCGAGAACCTCTACACACGCTAACAAAAACACCATGTGTCGACCTTTCAAACACGCAAGCATACATTCAAGCATATTTTGATAGAGTCAATATATGGTATGCTTGTGTCAATCCTTATACATGGCGAAGTCAATACAGAACGGCTTTGTCGAATGGCTTTCGGGAAGGCCCCGAGAGTTGTATCGTGTTACTGGTGCTAGCACTTGGCGATGCAAGCCTCCGAGGCAGTATATCCCGTATTGTGCCGCACCAAGAGCCGCCGGGGTTGCAATACTTCACTGCTGCCTGGTCGCTGCTTCCTGGTATGATAACGACGAACAATGTCCTCGCGGCACAATGCCATTTGCTTGCTGCGGCGTATCTATTTTACCTGGTTCGGCCCCTTGAGGCTTGGAACTTGCTTTGCACGGCGAGCACCAAGCTGCAACTTCTCCTAATGGCCCCAAACAGAATTCCACAGAAGCAGCGAGAACTGGTGGAAAGAATATACTGGAATACGCTTTTGTTTGAGAGCGATTTACTTGCAGAACTGGATTTACCGCACTCTGGAGTTGTGCAGTTCGAGGAGAACGTTGGACTGCCAGGCGGTTTCGAGGGCGAGGAGCAGGGACAGGCACGGATTGGCCACGATGATCTATGGTACTTCCTCGCCGAGATTGCTTTGCGAAGACTCCTTAACCGAGCGAGCCAGCTCATATATTCCAAAGATTCTGTGTCATCGACAACTAGTCTGGAACCCGTTGTGGCAGAGCTGGACTACCAATTAACTCAGTGGTATGAAGGTCTGCCGCCTCCCTTGCAGTTTCCTTTCTCTCGCACAATGCTACATGACCCGATCCAAGCGGTCCTGCGTTTACGCTTCTATGCTTGTAAAACTATTATCTATCGTCCCTATATTTTGGCCGTACTGGAAAACGAGCAAGCGGTCTTGGACCCGGCGGTTCGCGAATGTTGCCACAAGTGCCTGGAAGCATCAGTGCGGCAGTTGGAACACGTTACGGAGCAGTAAGCTAGCCGCCTTTGACCTATGTCTAAGTGTGAGGTATGTCGACGATATTAACTACATGTGCAGTCACGCTGGGCATATGCCCTATATATGGCAAGGGACTTTGTCTATGATGGCCCAGACGCTTCTATTAATGGGCTCATCCATGTCGCCGTCATTGATGGGCATACTTCTCACGATTGTGCCTCATCAGAAAGCATTGGACGACCTTATCAATGAAGTTATCATGGAGGTGCAGAATTATGCACCCCTGGCACCAAGTTTGCGGCTGGCGGTCGAAATTATCAAAGAAGCCGAGGTACGACGGAAATTATTCTGCACTGGCTGAAAGGTGCTAAGTCGTCAATTGGACCAATCTGTGCTCCTGCTGTCAGAATATCACGAACGAAGCTCGCCTGTTACGGCTCGCTTGAGCATGGCTACATCATGACTTGAGATGGATGACGAATGTTTTGGACTAATCATGATGTTGTTGCATTGTTGCATTTTTGTATACATACCAAGCCAGGCGCGTGGCTGTGTTTACTGCTGTATCGATTGCAGCCAAACTCAGCGCAGTTTGCGACTGTACTCATTCATAGCTTCCACCAGGGCAATCGAGTTGCCAAAAGTGGCCCACATCCTATATGCATACTAATACACAACCTCACGACCAGAGAGCGGGTTTCCCTGCCATTTTAAATCAAGTAGAGAGCAAAGTGTGAGGCTGAGACAAGGATATTCTTCAACTGTTGGTGAATATGCGGGGATATCTCGACAGCCACGCCGGAGCTAGTGTGGCCCGGGTACGGAGCCACGGTTTGTGCTGTCACAACGACGGACCATCAGCGCCGGATAATAGAGTACGTAATGGCTTGCAGTCAATTGATAAAATGCGGGGTGTTCAACCCCTGGACCCTGTCTTTATGTCAATTTGCTTACGGACCTGTGCATGTGCTGAGATTTCTGCCGAAAAGAAGAATGGTTACACATGAGACCGGTGAGCCGGCCAGAAGTGCCGTTGCAGTGGGACGGGTCCTGGTTCTGGTAGAATACGTCGTGGCAGCCTATTCTGGGCCGTACCTCGGAGAATTTCCATTAGATCAGCAAATGCAGTCTTCACAGTAAATTGTTACAATTTGACGTGTCGGTATTCCCGGGGCTGGTCGTGTCCCCATCGATGAACACACCAAGTTGGTCGAAAGCGAGAGATTCAGGATGCTACCGCTACCGCTTTGGCCTACTCCGTCTTATACTCGCTGATGAGGGAGATTGGGCTCGCTATCAGGTCGTAGAATACGAAGCCCAATGGGTGGTGGTCCCTCACCGAGTCGGTTTCTTCGACACGAATCCGAGAAAAGAAACTCGTGTAGGATAGATAGTCTGGCATCGAGTCAGGATTGATGATGGCGTTGCGAATTCCGCTGCGTAGAAGGAGGTGAAGGCGTGTGTCGGCGCACAAGTGTGACCGCCACTGTCACCAAGCTTTCTGCGGTACTCTGTGTCAGTCGGCGGATATGAAGTAGCCATTGGCAGATGAAGTTTCGATATTCATGTAAGCGGGTACCATCTGCATTCACAACCCGCTTCCCCATTCCGGGTGCCAAAATACGGTCGCAACCTCTCAGTCACGACGTGTGTCAGTCAAGTGTCCGGCCGCAGTTCCGTTGCATCAAATGCAGCGAACCAGTCCGTTCCTTGGACCCGCCCAAGGCCCGGGCCGTGGCCCCACTTTACGTCCAAATGTTCAGGTCAGGGTCAGGGTCATCGGTTCCAGTTGCTGGTCCACGTGAACAACGGTGCCTCCGGGCTCACAAGCTCGGGGTCAGGTCACGGAGGGCAGCCCGTGCCGAAAGGTAGTGAATCGACGAATGACCGCCGCTGACTTCCCCGCCGCAAAAGTCCACTGAGTGTGCATGGCCTGACTGAGGGATATTTTGGCCGTGTTTTTTTTGTTCCTTGTGCCTCGCCGGACTTTCCTGAGGAGCGAGGGAATTGTTTTGGGTTAGGTTTCACAGCTTTGCCAGCTCAGCAATGGAGCCGTGACGTCGTCGCACGTGACGGCGGAGAGGAGGAAGCTCCCAGGTGGCCAACCACCAACCACCCAACTTTTGTTCGTCTGGCGGAAGGAGCAGCCACCGAGTGTGCATGGGGAAAGCGCCAAAGGCAGGGCCTCATCACAGCAGACTTTTTTTTTTTGGTTCAATCGACAGGCTGGTGACACGGGCGACGCCGGTGACACTGGCGGCTGGAGCGTGAACAGAGTCTTGTCTTGTTCATGCCTAAAAGCTCCTTGTCTTTGTGTGGCCTTCTCCCCGGTTTTATTCATCCATCTTTGCGGGCACCAACCGCTACCTCCAGACGCCTGGGCAGCCATCCGCGCTGAGCACTTGACCCAACTTGCCAGGCACACTGTCACCCCTCACGGCCTGCGGGTTGCTCAAGTGAACATACCACCTTTTTGTCAGGCTCGGGCCATCTCTCCTCATCACCGGTCTTAGCCTTGTTGGTGCTTCCCGAGTGTTGGGTGGCGTGTTGGACGAACTGCCTGACGGACGGCCAGGGGGAACAGGCGCCATCGAGTGTTCAAATGCTGAGGGGGCTCTCTGATCCATCATTGTTCAGACGCGAGGACATCATAGCGTGGCGGCCCGACACCAACACCACCAAGAGTCAAAGCTTGCATGCGGTAATATTGCTCGTGTTCTTTCTCTATTCTCACTTGGCGCATTCCCCTGCGGATTTCCTGCTCGGCAAAGCCTTATAATGCACCACGCGCTCTGCCCAACCCCAATCAACGACGTACGCTGCAGTAGGTTGATGCAGGCAAGACAACCCCCGACTGGTTCGCCGCCGCCCAGGGCTGCTTCTCTATTCGCCCGTACTTTCGCATCTATATATTTTTTCTTTTTATTTTCCTTTTCGATTCTTACGCTTACTCGACTTCGAGCCAACCAGAGCAGGCAGAGGGGAAAGTGCGTGCATAATCAATCGACATATCGCGCCAGGGTGGTGGTGGTGGTGGTGGGATATTCAGCCCGTGGTTGCCCGAAGCCATCAAGGAGAAATTTCTTAACGGCCTAAAAACCCAACAAACCAACCGCCGGGCCTGTTTAGAGAATGAGGCGGCCTTCGCACCTAGATGATGTGGATGGCGATCATATCCCCCGTCGAGCAAGACGGTACGACGACCGCATTCTGGACCTGAGAGCGAAGCCTGACCAGTCGCCCGATTCGCCGCCCCATGCTTTCGACGACGGGGTACATAGCTCCCCGCGTAGGACGACATCTCGACGACGACGCTATTCAAGTTTGAGGAGCCCGGACCCAAACGAGTACTTTGCTGCTGCTTCTGCCTCCTCAACCATGCCGCCTCCCCCAGCGCCAGCGCCTGTAATCGGTTTAACAAGGTCTGCAACAGATGCCGCGTATCGAAGACCTGTTAATTGTCTCGCTCCAGACGACCGGTATGAGGTCCCGCTTGTGAGGAGGCATTCGGCGAGGGACGTGTCTCCGGGATATGGAAGGACGAGGGGGGGAGCAGAATACTCGGCCCATTCCTCGGCCACAAGCGGCCTTGCGTATGGAGATGATTATGATTGTGATCACATAGAGGTTGTTGAGGAGCTCGAGGAGGAGCCGGCCAGGTACAGAGAGCGTGGTCAGTCGAGCCGAGATGAGTATATCGAGTCATCTTCAGATAGGAGATATCGTAGGAGAAGGAGGAAGCCGTATGGGGACGAAGATGGCGGGTCGCGGAGGTACTATGCTGCTAGTGAGGGTGGCTCCGCAGCCATTGCATCATCAAGGACGCCTGATCGCAGTGTTTCGTCTCGTCGCGAGAGAGTTTATCACGTTCCTGATGTGATTGAAGATTCGCGGCCCCCGATTTCGTCCAACAGGTATGTTTCAAGTCATGAAGAGCTGTGTCGCTCGGGTTCTAATTATACATATGTGGCAGGCCGCTAGTGCATAGACGTCACAGGTCCGCTGAGATCATACAGCTTGACCAGCCGAAGACTCGAAGATTCAGCCGGAGTAGGGCTGGATCCGTATCGGGTGGTCCTTCTAGCATCATTGGGAGTATATTTGGGGCGCAGACAGTGCGACAGGAGAGTCCGGATAAGCACCTGAAGGAGCCAAAGGTGCCAAAGAAACGGTCAGTCTTTCACCATGTCGAAGTCGCGCGAATTACGACGAACGGAACTAAATGAAAACGCAGTGTTGATTGTGTCATCTGTATGGGTGACGTGCCAACATCCAAAGCCTCCAAGTTAAGATGCGGGCATTACATGTGCCGTTCATGCCTTGAACGCATCTTTAGGCTTTCCGTCACCGATCCGCAACACATGCCTCCTCGATGCTGCACGACAGACCATATTCCTCTAAAGCATGTTGAACGGCTTTTCGACCATGCCTTCAAGAAGACTTGGAATCGTAAATTCGCCGAATACTCAACCAAGAATCGAGTTTACTGTCCGGCCCGAAAATGCGGAGAATGGATCAAACCGTCCAACATTAAGCGCGAGGACGGTCGCAAAGTAGGAAGGTGTAGCAGGTGCAGAACCAAGGTATGTTGCGCATGCAACACCCGATGGCATGGAGCTATGTCATGTCCGAACGACCCAGAGACGGCGGATATTCTTGCCCAGGCGAAAGAAGAAGGGTGGAAGCGGTGCTACAGGTGCAAGGCCTTGGTAGAGCTGAAAGAGGGTTGTAACCATATGACATGGTAAGTTCACTTCTTCGCCAGCTTCCTGCTTTAGCAGAGATGAAACTTCTGCTGACAATGTATAGTCGATGCGGTGCTGAGTTCTGCATGATTTGCGGCATAAAGTGGAAAAACTGCGATTGTCCCTGGTTCAATGATGACGATCGCCGCGCCGACTTCTTGAACGATATGAATATTTCGATCCCTAGTATCAGAGGCGACCTGGGTGACATATTCCGAGGCAACGGCCCCCCTGCACCACCCGAACTACGAGGGCATACAGAACCTCCTCCTATGATGATGCCAGTTCGTCGAAGACCAAGGACGTACCAGGAGGAAATGCACATGCGACGACAGCAGGAATCGTTCGACGCCGACTTTGCTCGTCAATTGCAGTATACGGGTGATTACGACGAACCGCACAGTTACAGTATGATGGGTGGGTTGGGAGACATCCATGGCATTGGAAACGCATCAGAGCATTATATGAATGAGAATTACAGACGGGGGGGACACTACAGACCCCAAACACAAACGACAGCAGTACACGACAGACCCGAGTACGGTGATACTCGGCGTTCACGGGGACGTTTAGAGACCTCTCAAGAACGACGACTGGCAGATCGTCTATCAGAAACCCGATCCGGCTTTGGATCTCCTCCGGCCGCAGGACCAATTTACCCAGTGGGCATGAGCGTGCCTCCTCCACCAGTACCTGCGGCCCCGGTTCCCATCCCGCCTTCCCTTGCGCTGCGGCACCATACGGTCGAGGCGGAAATGTACAATATATCGCCGTATACTCCGCGGACAGAGAGAGTCGTGGGGCGGCGCATGTCGAGGGATTACGAAGACGAGGCAAGGGTCCATTCTCCACCGCGAAGCCATTGGCGCAGAGGCAGGGAGACCAGGCCCAAGTCGAGCGAGTTGGCCGGATTGAATGGCACGGGACAGGGGATGAATCGGGTTTCGCAGTGGAGGGCATTTGTTGAGCCTGGGATTCCGGATGGGGAGTCAACGGTTGGGCACGCTTAAGATTTTGCTCTCACGAGTTTATGATGTGTATTCTAGAACTTTTTGGACTTTTTAAACGAGTTTTTCTTTTCTTTTCCTCCTCTTTTTCGTGTAGCATCTTTGACTTGACATGCTTATAGCAAAGCGGAAGATTCTGTACTTGAGTGGGTGAGTGGCCTGGCCGCTTGCCGTTGATGGTTAAATCTAGAGAGGAAGCCATGCCATGTTCCCCTCAACCTTGAGCGACGATTGACTTGACAGGTGCCTATATCACGATTATATTGGGTGCAGGGATGTCTTTGACGATCGGTTGAGAGGCTCCAAGAAGCATGGGGAAAGCTCGTGGGAGCCGGCTGCCAAGACGACGACCTGGTTAGACAGGACGATATTCATGCACCCCGTACTCTGTATGCACAGCCGACACGTGGGAGATGACGGGACATGCAGAGCCAGGAAAGCAGCGCTCGATGGTGCCAGGGCCTTGATGGCGGACGGGGAGGGAGGAGTTGTCAGGTTCTCAAGTTGGTTGGACTGGAAATGGGGTCGGGTTGTGTAACGGGGGCCACTTCACGGCGCACTGACGTGAATAGGGAGCAATTTGGAGGGGCAGACGGATTGGCTGGTTGTTGGCAGGGCTCATTGCTCGGTAGTACGTACAATGTACGCTCGATGTTTTTTCGTTTTCAAATAGATGACGACGGCGGTTGAGATTGAAACGCCTAGGTGCTGCTCCGTGCATCCGAGTTCCCGTATGGCCAAGGCCCTGGGCGACTAGTCCTCGTCGGGTGCGGCGGGATCGGCTGCCTCTCGCACTTGCCATTCTCTCCGGAGTTCCGCTGACAGCTCAAGAGGAAGTGCGTGAGCCCGCGAGGGTCGGCGGGGCCCACTTCCAACAATCGTTCTTACTAGTGCTAGTACTCCAAAGTCACCTCCTATTCCGCACCCGCAGCCGTACTTGTAGTCAGTCATTCACAGCAGGCGGGCACATGTCATCTTCCCACCACTCTTTTCTCATTACACTTTCATCCTCCTCCATGTCACACTCGCATTTTGCTGCTAAAACTGGTCGCATCATGAAGGGCATGTGCTAGGGCTCCCTTCTCCTCCCCAAATCCCTGGACAGCTTGCGCCTGCCGGTGCTGCACATGCCGCAGCTGCTGGTGCTTTGACGTCAGCATCCTCAAAGGTGACCACGTGCTGTCTATGATGCTCGCGTGCAGTTGAAAGCCATTCTCCCTCAGCCCCTGTGCGACACGACTTTTCTCCTTCATACCTTGCCACGCCGAAGCTCGAATCTACGTCTCCGGGATCCTGTCCGATATTGCCTGCGCGAGCTCAAAGTTCGGCCGTCGCAAAACCAGGGCCACCATATCATTATGCTCCTCCTGCATCAGGTCGGCAGCGTCAAGATTGGCGAAGTCGTCCGATACACCGTCACATACACGCCGTCGCAGGACCGAATCCTGCCGTCACCCGAGAAACTCTACGTTCGGATCCGAAATACTTCCACTATTGCCTTGCGCGCTGCATTTGTCCACGGCCCGTATACGCTGTCTGTCTCGGCCTACCCTTCCAACTATAACCCCAATGAGAAATATCCCAATCACCGCCGCTATGGAGTCCCCGAGTTTGAACCTATGCTCAAGGCAGGAGGGTCGTGGGAGTGCGAACTCGTCGTCCCAGACGATATCCGCCAGGCTGCTGGTGCCGGGCGGCATGGCGGGTTCGGCAAGAGTTGCGAGCACGACGATGAATGCGCCAGCTGGATTATTGAAGTTGCCTCACAGGTCATCTTCTCGACCTCGGCCGCCGTAGGGTTCGAGGTTGTGGTGGCGCGGGACTACAAATCGTTGAACCTGAGCCAGACATTGCCTATTGTTGGTAATTCAAGCGCGGTACCTCAGCCCGGCCGTGTCTGTGACCACCAGCAGAGCATTGGAGCCAAGGACGGGCACCATCCTGCGCAGCCCAAAGGTGTCTTCTCTCGAGCAGTCCACCTGAAAGTGGAGGACACAGCTACGCTCTGGAATACTCCAAGACTCCCCGGCTGGGACGATGTGTGCGAAAAACGAGTCGAAGCTTCAGGTGCAGACAAGCCTGTACAAAGTACGGTCAAGACAGGCGATTCAGGAACCAACAAGTGCCAATCATGTTCAATAGGAGAGCGAAAGAAGAAAAAGGTTCATCTGGTAATCTTAACTCATGGGCTGCACAGTAACCTAGGAGCCGACATGTTATACATTAAAGAGAGCATTGACGTTGCTGCTAAGCAGGCACGGATAGATGCGAAGGCTAGACGGGCAAAGGAAAAGGCAGCCAAGAAGGAAGTTACTACCGAGTCGAAAACTGAAGACACGAAAAAGGGCGAAGACGAAGGCGACAAAGGCGATGATGACGAGGACGAGGACGAGGATGACGAAGAGGTCATTGTGCGCGGGTATCCGGGAAACGCTACCAAAACTGAAAAGGGTATCAAGTACCTCGGCAAAAGATTGTCAAGATACGTTCTCTCCATGACATATCCCGACCAGCCTTTTCTTCCCATTGGTAAAGGGGCAGTCGAAGGTCTCGCCGAGGCTATGGGAGGCGGCCACAGCCACCAGCATCAAAAGTCCCCTAATTCGAAGCCGGCGCATAAGCATAGCACGATACAAGCCGATGCTGCCAAAACTAAGCACGATAGTCAATGCAGACATTACAAGATAACAAGCATCAGCTTTGTTGGGCATTCGCTTGGTGGTCTTATCCAGACGTATGCTATTGCATATATTCAGAAGCACTCTCCCGACTTCTTTGATCTCATTCAACCAATCAACTTTATCTCCTTGGCGTCGCCATTTCTCGGTTTGAGTAATGAGAACCCTCTATACGTCAAATTTGCCCTCGACTTTGGTCTAGTCGGGCGAACAGGCCAAGATCTCGGTCTCACCTGGAGGGCTCCAACCATTGCTCGAAGTGGATGGGGAGCCCTTGTTAGCAATCTTGGCGAGTCCGCACACAAAAAGGTATACGGCGAATCACAAGCTGAGTCTAAACCTCTGTTGCGCATTTTGCCTACTGGCCCGGCACATGTAGCCCTCAAAAAGTTCAGAAACCGAACTGTCTATTCCAATGTTGTCAATGATGGCATTGTGCCCCTTCGCACTAGCTGTCTGTTATTTTTGGATTGGCAAGGTCTCGGCCGTGTCGAAAAGGCTCGGCGAGATGCCGGCTTGGTAGAAACTGTTGTTGGGTTCGGATGGGCAGAGTTGACTGGCACAAACATCCTGTCCCCGCGGCAAAGACAGAGGCTTCCCTCCGATGAGCAAGTACAGCAAAGTGACTCTGGGACAAGCACACCGAGGGGGAGCATGCGCCAGGTTCCGCAGCCCTCAGACGACGCCATGAACGAGGATGATAGGGCAAGCATCCGCTCAGTGCCTCGACCATTCAATGGGGACGACGATGTCCCCTCCGACACTGGTGGTGATGCGGCTCACCTCTCGCCTTTGGCCGGCTTCTTCAATCTCTTCAAGAGCAACGAGCCTCCCAAGCCCCAAGTAACCTCTGCCAAACAAAAGAAGATTCTGCGACGCGGCCAGACAATGCCAACCAACGATTCTGACACCACCAACTCGAGCATCACGGATATAAGCGACCGCAAACCCGGCAAAGCGACCACAGGGCATGAGATGGAAGAGGATGTGGATGGGATGACTGCACCGCCCAAAACTACGTTCTTTGAATCCGCCGGCGATCTTCTCAACCCCAGCTTACCCACCACAGAATACCTGCTTGATCCATCAAAGCGTCCCAGAACCATTTTCCACGACCGGGTATACCATCCAAGTGACATACCCCCTCCTCCCATGAAAAAGCGGCAGTCGACCCTCGTGCGTCGCAGGACGTCCGGGAAGATGTCTGCAACGTCGCACCAGCAAAGCGATTCATCGTCACCTTACCCTTCAATAAACCACGCCGATTCCATGGAGTCGGCAAAGGACTATGACGACACAGTCCACACCAACCCAGACAAACATCCGGCCGAAGTGGTGGACGGTTCGAGCATGCGGGTAGAAGAAAAGATTGCCAGAGGCTATCATCGTGATCTTTCTTGGCGCAAAGTGCTGGTCAAGCTAGAACCGGACGCACATAACAACATCATTGTGCGCCGCATGTTTGCTAACGCTCACGGCTGGCCTGTCGTGAAGCACCTGGTGGACGCACACTTTAGTGACTCGGAGGCTGCGCGGATGCGAGATGACGAGGAACCAAACATAGAGCGGGCATTTGCATCTCACCGGTCGCCGGATGCCGATGGCCGGGAAGTTAAACGGTTGGGCCAACTTGGTCAAGACGGCGCGGGCAGCCCCGACTCATCGGAAGAGCCAGGCGGCGGCGAGACCAACGAGGCGCGAGAGGCGCGAGAAGCACTGGACGAGGTCCCTGAATTGCGGAAGAAACCAGACGGCGATGTCTCGTCACTACCTCCTCGTCTCGGGTCGTCGGACAGAGCTGACTCGATGACGTGGAGTGAGCGAGACTGGGTGGACAGTGAAAACGAGAGCGAAATAGAAACCCACGAAGACGGAAAGGTTGGTAAACAAAGGCACCAGCCGACGCAGCCGACAAAGGACGGGACGCAAGGGCGGCTCAGCCCGTCGTCGTGGAAGTGGGCTGAGAAAATCGTAGGCAAGGGGTCGACAAGAAGCCGGAGTAAGAGTCCAAAGCCCGGTGAAGACAAATGACGAAGCTTATTATTGGTTGATGAAGAAACAAACACGCGCCCTGGATGAGACATGGCTCATGCAATAGATGTCACTACATAATTAAGAGTACTACTACTACTACTACTACTACTACTACGTATAAAAGGGAATGACGGCGTTGTGCATTAGTCACATGGCAAACACGTTGAATCGAAACATAAAAAGCAACGAGAGACAAATTATGTGACAGACAGAAACATGGCCGTTTTCAAAAGTCGCGCCATTCGGGCAGCAAAAGATTGATGGGGCAGCATCCCAGATCAATACGGCACACAGCATCACACACGCCTTGGGCAAAATGTTGCGATAATATTGCCCTCTGCTCGTGCCAAAACATCATGCTCTTCTTCCATTCAAGACTTCACTTAGCCTACATATACCATGGCGCAAGGTCGAGCAGTGCGCTAGGCGTAACACAGCCCTAAGAGTAGCCAGTCTTGGCGAAAAGCTGCCCAAAAAAAAAAACAAAAAACAAAAGATGACGGTATATATATAATAGCATCCTAGATCGATACGGCACACAGCACCACACACGCCTTGGGCAAAATGTTGCGACAATATTGCCCGTCTGCGCGCGGCAAACCATCATGCTGTTCTCACTCAGGACTTCACTGAGCCTACATACCATGGCGCAATGTCGAGCAGTGCGCTAGGCGTAACGCCCTAAGAGCAACCAGTCTTGGCGAAAAGCAGTCGAAAAAAAATGAAAAATGAAACAAAAAATGAAGGTATAATGGTGGGCTCAATACCACCTCACATGGACGAACGGGGAATCGAACCCCGGACCACTCCCAATCACGAATCCGTAGACGGAAACCTGCTAAGGGAGTATTATACCACTAAACCATCCGCCCCTATTGGGAATAGCTTGGTTATTTTATTATATATATCCACCCCGATTGGGAATAGGTTGGTTATTTTACTATGACAAGGATCTTTGCGTGTTCCCGCGAAGGCGAGGCTGGTGGGGCCGGATGGCCTGCGGTGAAGTTGCGAGTCGGGATTTGCCAGAAAAGAGTGCCCAGATGCGGAAATGCGAGTCAGTGATTGTGTGATATGATGGCTCGCACGAATTGGATGATAACATTTCATATGTGACTTGTGCGTAGCATTGCCGCGTTATAGCAGTGGCTGATGTTTCACCCGTCGCTGCGTGACTCTGATCGTCGCACAACGGGCAGTGTGACGAGAAAGGCGATCGGGACGCACGGCGCCGTTTTGGGGCATCGTGTTGCGGAAAAGCAGCAAGATAACTAATTTCGAGTTTGACCAAGGGGGGGGCCTGGCTTCGATTGCCGTTGGCCGCCATTCGTTTTCCGGTTTGCCTTCCCGTCACGGACTACTCCATGGAGCACATTATTCTGTGAACGGGTGAACATGTGCGACCCTCTTTCCTCCTGTTTTACCCCGGAGGTTCATTTGCTGCACGGAGTACTCCGTAGAGGGGGGGAGGGGGGGGTTCCTGCGTGTGCGCTTTGCAACAATGGCACTCGCTCCGTGCCCTGCCTCCGCTCCCCGTGCCCTGGACCAGATGCAGCAGAGGACGAGCGGACGAGGTGGGAACACGGTCCATGTCACAAAGAGGTCCGGAGCTGGCTGGCGGCACGGAGTACGGAGTACAGTGACTGTGTCGTCCATGATATGGCTTGGCGCAGGCGGCAGCAGTCCCACAAGGGCACTGTGTAGTTGTAACCATGGACCGGGATGCTTTGTTGCTAAACACTGAAGAGATGCCGAACACGCCGGTGCGCAGTCATGACAGCGTCGAGACGGCCTTGTCGATTTGCTGGCCACCGAAGCCGCTTTTCCAGAGTGCAGCATCAGAATGTCGACGAGAGAGGCTCTGGGGCGAACATGCGAGGCGAGGGTGCTCGAGTTGTGATGCTCGCCCTGGATGCTCGCCTGGCTGTTCGCCCTGCGCATGGTGCAAGGCTGGGGCGTTGGAAGCACCAGTGATTGATTCTTGAGTGCTGGCTCCGGGCTTCTGGACTCAGTGCGTACATGCAGTTTGCGTGAAACTGGACAGTGCCTTCCTTTTGGGCACCCGGGTTGAACAAATGTCTGCTTTTTCCTGCGGAAGGGGCGACTCAGTCACAGTCTAGTCCCGGTTCCCAGTCCCGCCATGGAGCGACAAACTTGATAATTCACAGCTGCCCAAGGAGTCTTCACCACTCGAGCATTCATTTTTCGTAAAAGTAATAAAAACCTCTACCTCGGTCGTTCTCTTTTCGTAAGAGGGATTCCTCTTTTTCTTTTTTTTTCTTTTTCTCTCTCTTCTCTTCAACCATCCCGATCAAACGCTAAGCTCACCTCGCCCTTGGTTGCGCATGGTTCTCGATTTCTTTCCTTACTTTCACTTTTCTCTTCCCCATTGAGTGATATTCCAAGCAAACCTTTCTTTGCCTTACCAGCCGAGACAGGTGAAACTTGTTGGCTCACCTTCTACCATACGGACAACAGAGGAGACGGCGCAGAGCTGGCTCTGGCCCGAGTCGCTGGGCCGCCCGAGGGGCAAAGACTGCAGCGGCACCCAAACCATCTTTCCTCCCCGAAGAGGACGCCAAACCGAGAGCGGGCAGGCAAGGAAAACAAAAAGTGCTGGGCTTGGCTCGTGAAGCGAGTTTGGAGGAGAAAAGACAAAAAATCAAAAACCATGCCCGGAACAATAGATCTCCGTGCCACCATTCCGGCGGCTAAGATGGTCTCAAATCCGGGGAATCTCCGCCTGCTCGGCACCTGGAACCAGGTTGCAATGCGAGCCTATGTCCGGCAAGTGTTTTGCTTTCCAATCGACGAGCAGCTGAACGGCTTCGACAAGCTGTGCAAGCACATCCAAAACCGGCTCAAGCTTGCATGCAATCATTTCCCTCACTTTGCGGGAAAGATATATCTTGGCCGGACCAAGGGGACAGTGCACCTTTCCACGACGAAAAATGATAAAGTGTCTTTCAAGTTTTTTGATAATCGACAATGTGAGGAGTCGTTGTTTAGCTGGAGCTACCCCGAGCTCAAGGCGCAGGGTTTCCCCTGCAAGGCATTTGTAGGGCCCTGTTTCGACCTGCCGTATGACTTGACGGAAAATGGGCCCGGAGTGCCTGTTACTGAGGTTCATGCACGCATTATCCGAGGCGGCGGTCTATTGCTGTGCTTCTACTTCCACCACTCCATTACAGATGGCATTGGCATGCACAGCTTTATATCGACCTTTGCCGCCTTCACCCGCCGCGACGAGACGGCTGCCCAGAATGGTATCGAGGACGGTGTTAGGGCTGGTGTTAAAAGTGTCGCCGAGTATGCAGTCAAGAATGGTGTCGAAAATGGCCAGGCCAACAAGTTTGAATACCCCGCCAATATAGACGTGGATATTCCCGAGAGCGAAACGACTGCTTTACTCGAGTCGTCCTTTGAGGACCTGATGAAGGATTGTCCCGAATACACCCTTCTTCCCCAGCCGACGGGACCAACCGCCCCATGTACCCGCCGAGAACGGGTGCCATCTCTTGCCAATGTCCGTAAGACGGGCCGCATATTCAAGTTCAACGAGGAGAAGATTAGGGCCCTTCACGCAGTGGCGCAAAATTGGAGTGGGAGCCACGTTAGGACCTTTGCCTGTCTGGCGGGTGTCGTGTGGAGCTTCTGTACCGCTGCACGACTCGCGGGCCATCAGCCGCGAGCGCCGTCTGTCCCAAATCCGACCAACTTAAACAAAAACAGCTTAACAGACAAGACACACCTTCTCGTCCCAGCAAGCTGGAAAAAATGTGCGTATCAAGGCGGGCTACCTGGGTATGCAAGCAATGCGGTTTGCATGCCCAGGATTTGCGCCAACATGGACGACCATGTGGTGATTAGTAGCCAGCAGCCATGTACAAAGGCCTCCCCAGCCTCGGCTGCGACAGCGGACGAGCTGCTGGGCAAACTGATATGCTCCATCGACTCGGCAATAACAGCCATTGACAAGGACTTTGTTGACAAACGGACAGCCATGTTTCGAGCTGCCCCGGATCCTCGATTTGTCGGTATCAATCTGGATCCTCAAGAGCCTTCGGACTTCATCTTCAACTCTTGGCGTCATCTGGGAGCCGATGTTATATTTCGGTTTCCAGGATTAAAGCCCGAGGGCAAGTCAAGTTCAGGTGGAAGAACAGCTGATGCTGTGCGTCGCGCGCAGCCACAGTGGAATATGGGCGCTGGACTTGTGCTACCAGGAAAGCTGCATTCGGATTATGAGATATTGGTGACGCTGGACAAGGCGTCGATGATGCGACTGTTGGCGAACGAGGAGTGGAAGAAGTGGGTGAGCAATGACAACACGATTGAGTAGCGAAGGCTGCAGGGATGGATACCAGACAAGTGGGCGTTTTTTGTAAAGATTTATTGGCAACGATGATAGACAGGGCCCGAAGGCCGACTTCCACTCAGATAAAATTTCTTTTGAATAAAAATGGTTGATTAATGAGTAAACTACCAACCAATGCCAGCTCCAGTGCAGGTGTGCGAGTCTTGGCCATCGGGTGGCTCCAGACGTGAAGGTGTGGACCGAGGTGCGTTGGTGGAGACGCCTCCACTGGATCCAATGTGAAGCAAGCTATTAATTATCACGTAGCAGCAGGTAATTTACCCCATATTACTTCTGCTAACTACTAAGTACACACCTTAGATAGTATCTGGGTTGTCTGCCCAGCTGTGACATGACATCAGTGCAGTACTGCGTCGTCGTCGTCGACTCGTCGCCCAAGTACCGTCAAGTTGGTCGCAAGCCGCCTTCAGTCCAGCATCGCTGGGCAACTACAAACAACTCTTCCTACAACCCACCGACCTTGCTCGACGACCAAGACAAGACCAACACTCGACTTAGACTCTTTTGGTTCTCGTCACAATGGAGGAATAACTAGGTAGCCACTTAGCGTAGTGCGTTGCAAACACTGCTGCACTCCAAGTCGCCACCACCGAGAGACGCAACCAGAAAAGAAGAATCCCCCCTCCTCCCACGACCATCAATTGGAACCTTGGTCCGCAGTCCATATCCCCCTTCCCAAGATGCGCATCTTCCTCCTCCCCCTCTCCACGCGGCGCACGTTTCTCTACGCACAGCGCCTGCACGCAACGACGTCGCCGCCCAACACGTCGCTGCTCGACCGCGGCACCGCCTTCGCCGCGCGCAAATGGTCCGAATGGGAAAAGAAGCCCTCGGGCTGGCAGAAGAAGGTGGTCGAGTACGGGAACCACGCCTTTCGAAGGATCCCCTACGAGGAATGGGGGCTCAAGAGCGTGCCGCCGCTGTCGACGCGCCGCAGGCAAGACGAAATCGAGGGCAGGGAGAAGGTCGAGCTGGTGTATCCGGGGAGCGTCCTGCGCGACGAGGATGTGCTACAGGTGACGGGCCAGCTGGCCGGCGAGAGGGAGGGTTTGCACCGGCGGCGGTTGATGTGGTGCTTTGTCGGGATGCCCATAACGCTGCCCTTTGCGTTGGTGCCCATGTGAGCATATCCATAGGTCAACTTTTTCTCAGACCGCGCAGCTGACAACGATGCTTTGCAAGAATCCCTAACCTGCCGTTCTTCTACCTCGTGTACCGCGCCTGGTCGCACTGGCGCGCCATCGCCGGCGGCAAACACATCCAATGGCTCGTTGAGCAGAAGCTGCTTAAACCCGCGCCATCGTCTACACTGGACAAACTGTATGGCCAGGCGCCCAAGCTTGCGGCGTCGGTCTCGCCAGTCGACAAGGAGCAGGTACTCTTGACGCAGGAACAAGTCACGTCGTTCTCGGAGAGCCTGGATATCCCCGCGCTGGAGATTGAGCTAGAGAGGGCGATATGGCAGGTTGAGCAGGCGATTCACAAGGCCGACGAGCAGCAGCAGCAGCAGCAGCAGACGCAGAAGCACGGAGACGGCACAAACGCAAATCACGACGTCAAGAGTAAAGATTCAAAAGAGAAGCAATAACCACCATGAGATTAATGTATACTAATAAAATAGAGACCGGAGGACGGGGATAAACACAAACCTCCCCTTCCTCCTTATAGAATGGGACCAGCCCCCTCCATGTTCTTATCAACTTATTTTTCACCTGAAAAACGATACCAAAATAAAAAATATATAAATTCCCGTGCCATCACTTTTGTAACGTATACCACCCCATCGCCCCCATTTTCGAATCAACAAGCCCGCTCCTGAGGAGGCCTCTCGCACCTGAACCAGCCGGGAACAGGGAATCTCCTCATCAAGCCCACCGCCAGCGCCACCCGCCGCGGCGTCAAGAAGCTCAAGGCCGGCCCATGGGACTGGTGCTCCGTCTCGCCCTGCTCGCCCTGCTCGGCCCTGGCATCCCGTCCGTCCAGGCCGTCGAGCAGCTGCCTTTTGCCGTCTGCCCGCAGCCCAGCCGCCTCCTACCCAGCGCCAAACGCATCAGCACCCACCAGACGTCACTCGGGCATATCAAAGGGCCAGGCAACAAAAAAAAGACGTACCTCCCTCCAGGCAATCGTCTCCCTCAGCCGCCTCTCGTACTCCCTCGCCTCCTGCAGCATCTTGTGCGAGCGCCACGCCTCCGCGGCCCTGTACCTCAGCAGCCGCTGCGTCGGGCTCACGCTCACGTTGGTCCTGGCCCGGGCCTCGCGCGCGCGCACCGGCGTGGTGCGGCGTGGGTTGAGCGGCGACGGGAACTCGGGTTCGTACGGCTCCAGCATGTCCATGAGATCCGGGGCAGCGAGTGAATAACAATACTATTTTTTAAAAAAGAATAAAAGATGAATCAGAAGTTAAAAAAAAGCCAAGACAGCAAGGGGACGTGGATGAAGAAGAGAATCAATGCGAGGAGGGGAACAAAGATAAACACCAGGACATGTCGATTGGATTTTGAGCGCATGGGGCGCGGCTTTCAAGCCTGGAAACCTTGTCGCCCGATCCGTACCGGATATGCTTTGTTGTGCGGCTGGAATGCGGCCTGTGGGATTTGTTTGATGGCGGGTGTTGGGGACCATTGATGGCATGGGAATTGACTTGCTGTGAATGTACTGACTGGAGAACTTTTTTGTCTCTCTTTTTTTTTTTGGTTCTTTTTACTCGGCCAGATCCTTTCGTAATGGCCATCGTACTGACTGAGGCTCTATTTTCTGCAACATGATACATTGGACTTCCCATGGAGCTGTGCTTCGTACACAAATCGGCTGGCTGCGTGCCGTGATGGTGGAGATGTTGTTTTCTTGGCCTTGTGTGGTTGGCGCCCGTCCGGTTGCGGGAATTTGGCAACGTCGTTCGATCTGGTCGCGGCCAGCCACGGCCATTTATTTTTATCTTTTCTTTGGAGCTACAAGAGGGCCGAGTAGGAGTGGCTACTACATTTTCACGGCCGAATCCATCACGTCGCAATTGCCTTGATGTCATCCTCCCCGCGTGCGAATAAAAGTCCAGTGAAGCGTTAGTATTAAATATTGTACCTGTATAATGCTCGGCATAGTACCAAAACCAAAACCTTGAAAGAAAAAAATATCAAAAGTTTTGCCGGTATGCTGGGACCAAGGGATATATCAAAGCGAGTGACCAATGCCGTCTCCAACGCCTGTTCTCATTTATTAGAGTGTATTTACCCAACACGATGATGCATGCAGTCGTTTCTTCCATCTCTTCGAAGTGCAAACAATTAAACCCTATTGCTGTTAATTTCCTTCCCCGCCTGTTGGCTGGTTGGTCTTAGTTTAGCTTATTCGGTGATGAACGTAGCTTCCATGAATAGCTGGCCCTCTTCGGTGACTTCTTCGTCTCCAATCTTGAGCTTGAGGGTCATCTTTGGCGCATACTGCAAGTTGTTGTTAGTGAGCCCATCTCACTGAGCAAGTTTTAAAAAATAAAAATAATAATAAAAGAAATGAAGAGAGGGAAATGAAAAGAAATGAAAATAGAAAAAAGAACATCCTTACCTGATAAATGTATGGCTTGGTCCCCGCCGCCGCGGCCACAATCGTCTTGACAAAGCCAGGTACCTCGGCCATGACGTCCACGCGGTCCGTCCGTTCTCCGAGCGGCCCTTCCAGGACAGCGCTGACGGGCTTGGCGTCCGTCTTGTTGCCTGTCCATTCAAACTTGACAGAACTGGGCTCGGGCCACTCGTTCTCCGAATCGTTCTTGACGTCGGTATGGATGGCCTCGTGGCCGGGGCCCGCGGTGATGATCTGACCATCCTTGACAATACCTCCCACATTGACCAATGTTGAGCCGTAAGAAGGCGGGGTGGTGAACTCCATCATGATGGCCGAGTAGTTGGGACCCTGGAAGTTAGCAAAGTTCCACTTGCCGGCGGCGTGGTGCGGCTTCATGCCCTGCAGAGCGAACGAGTACATGGCCTGGCCCTTGAAGTCAATGGGGCCATCGGGAGTGGTGATGGTGCCCTCGGCCGCACAGCGAGGCCAGAAAGCGTGGCGCATGGTTCCCCAGGGGTTCTCGAGGTCGGTGCCATACTTTGTTGTGCCGCTCTTGCCGGCCTTGAAGCCAGGAGCAGTCCTGGTGATCTTGAGGTTGACGATCGACCTCGGGTCGTTCATGCTCTTGATGGTGTATTCGTTTCCATCTTTAGAGAGCTCGAGCGCGCAGTCGTCGGCGTAGCAGGAGGTCTTGTCCTCGTTGAATTCAAAGTGGTTCAGAGGGGTTGAGCACCATAGGTGGGGTTTGGAAGGGTCTTTGGAGAAGATCTTGGAGTTGAACTGGCAAGTAGTTCGCATGCCACTTAGCTCGGGGTGCGGCGCGTTAGCAAGGAAGAGAGAAAAGTTTAGCCATGGCATATGGTGGCTGCATGTTGTTTACGCAGGACCAGGTAGACATACGCAACGTTGCTGTAGATGACCTGTGCAAGACCGATGTGGCCCTCATCCGACACCAGGTAGAAGCTCTGGGTCTCTACACATGTCGACTCCATGGCCACCCACTTCAAGTCATCGCGGGACAGTTCGGTAAAGGGCGTCTCCTTGGCTTCTTCAGCCACGGATCTGATCGCCGAAGCGCCATAGATGGGCTCCTGAGTGCCTGCGACGTTGGCCAACCTAAGATGGGACAACGACAACCGATGGTTAGCTGGGTGACTCGCGATGCACAATGGCGGGGAACAGCGGGCGACATCAGAGTATGAAGCAAAGTGGCTTAACGGATAGCAAAGAGCCTGACATACTGTTGCTTTGCCCAATTGAACATTCTGAAAATGGGCTGCCTGTCGTGGAGGAGCAAGAGTGAGAAGATGAGGGATTTAGGATGAAAAAAATCCAAGTGGAATACCCGTGTGAGGAATCTGATGATGCATGAGGTAGAAGAAGGTGGACGAGACAACAGGGCTGGACTGGGGACTAACACTGAGTGGAGCGCTGGAGCACTGGAACACAGGGTTTCAATGTTCACTTCACCGCTGCATGTGTCAGCGGAGGGCATCTAACTTGACGCCGGGCGGGGTGCTGGCGGGTGCTGGCACCACATGCAACCATTGATGTCTGGTCGAAGCGGCAGTCTTATTGAGTCCAGCATCAGACGGCGCCAAGAAGTGGGGCTGCCGCTCTCGATGGCCGATTCAATGTTCGATTTTACTGTCGCTGCCGCAGTCACCCTGCGCAGGGCCCAGGGGCAGCACCAGACAAGGTGGGCATATGGTGGAGTCTATACATGTGTTGATGCATGTGGCCATTGGAGAGCGCCTTTTCATGTATTGTACGGAGTACGAAGTAGCCATGCCGGCAAGGCCTGACCAACATTGCGCATGAGACGAAAAAGCCCAGGTCCAGAGTTAATAGGCTCAGTCCTTCCAGCTGACATCAAAAGGGCCAGACGCCGTCTCACGTGTCTTCAGTCATGGCAGTGGCCCGCATGTCCACATGCATGTCAGCTAGCGCCAGACGGGTCGAGCCTGGGCTGTCTGGTCAATGCCTAACAGAAGGGGTCCTTAGGGAGCATCGGCGCTACCTCAGTGCTGCGAGTTCAACGTTTGCAGGGGCCGGCCACTGTAACTGCGTAAAGCACCTAGGCACACTCACTTTACCCAACCAGTTGGTCATTTGGACCTGAATACCCACGCCGCTGTTTCGTGTTTACTTCCTGTCCATGTTGTCAAAATCCAACTTTCAACGACTCCCATCGCTGTTCGTTTGATGCGCTTTGGTTTTTATTCTCCCCTTGCAAGCGCCTCTGAGCTTACCGCATCATCTCTGCCAAAGGCGCTGCTTCATTCTGGATTGACCACGGCTCAAACCTCGCCCTTCTCCATTCAACGTTCCTTCGCCCTTAAAAAAGTTTGCTTCTGTATCGCGCCGCCGAGTCGAACCGAGCCTCATCCCTTCGCCGAGCTCACAACTCAATCTCGCCCACTTTCATATCCTGAAATATTCTTCTTGCGCATGCTGAACGTTCGCTTGTTGGCGCGCTTCTCGTCCGATCCGAATCAATATCGCCGTCTGGAGACGCGATCGCGCCATCCTGGCCCGCCCACGCCCTCGATCCATCTCAATCTAGGATTTCGTCGAACAAAAATAGACAGAACTGACGAGACACATCTAAAACATCAATTATCATGATGGAGGAGCCATCGACACTGTCACAAACGAACGAGCCTATCTCGCGACCCAGCCCGACCTCGACCTTGGTGTCTGCAAATTTGCAACAGCTCCCTGCCATCTCTGCTCTCGCAGTAAGCAACGCTGCGCAGAGTCCGCCGCAACTTAGGTACGACCCCTTCTTAGACGTCATCAGAGAAGAGAATCGAAATGGCATGTGCCAGGGCATACCGGCTAGTTGGAGTCGGCCCTCGCAGGAGGTGTTGCGTACCGGCGCAGAAGTCTAGAATTGCTTGCTCTCGTCATCGAGCACGCAACATGAATATTCAGAAAACCTAGCTAATACTTATATCTAGAGCCACCGCAGCACCGCAGAATCCAACTTACACTGGTGCCACACCGCCGGCTGCAACTAATGGCAATGGCAATGGCAATTTGGTAAGTCTGACGGCCCCACGATCCTTCAATACACCAGTCGCAAACACCGACCCCCCAATAAGCCTGAGAGCAGCGACATGCCTATTTTGGATGTTCCCTAGACTGAGTATGGAGCTCCAAGAGGATCTCGATGCTTGATTGTCGATAAGGAGATGGCACATGGCGCTGGTCCGCACCATGAAATCCCAGCATGGAGCCAGTAGTTATTATGGAGCCGCGGCGTTTTGACATTTGCTTTCCCTTATCGCTGGAGATAAGAGTGGGTCACGTGCGGCATTGTAGGTACTAATCCCGGGCTGCCACCTCGGCCACTTTCGCAAAACGTGGCTTGCTTATCGCGCCTTATCAGTCGGGCGCATGCGGGAGACCAAAAGTTTTTTTTTCTGCATCATCTCCTTATCGATCACGATAGTACTTATTTATCGCCCTGGCATTCCCCAAACCACCCACGCAATTCCCCAGCGCACCACCGGCACCATGATGGCCACTAACACTTCACCTACGCAGCCGACCTGCCAGAATTGTACGACGTCGACAACTCCATTGTGGCGCCGCGACGAATTTGGCTCCGTGCTCTGTAATGCCTGCGGTCTCTTCCTCAAGTTGCACGGCCGCCCGCGACCCATCTCCTTGAAGACCGACGTTATCAAGAGCCGTAATCGCGTCAAGACGATTCGACCCGATCTTGCAGCCAAGAAGAAGGTACTGTCCGCCCTATTACATGTTCAACACCGTGACCAAAAACAATCCCTAACTCCCTTTTTTTATAGGCCCAACAACAGCAGGCTGCGAACTTTGGTCTTGGCGCCGATGTGAGTGGTGCCGCCCTATCGGCGCAGAATGCCGCTGCCGCAGCTCAAGCTATCCGTCGAACGTCGCAAAAGCCGAACGGTAATGAGGGATCCGACTCTCCCATCTCTCGCACCGGCACACCTTCCATGTACAACCAGGGACTGCCCTCATTCATGGTTGATGACCCATACCAGGGCGGCAGCTTCAACGGGACTTCGGAGAACGGCGATCGAGATATGCCGCAAACTCACGAACAGCTGATTGCTCACAACTCTAGTCTCAAGACCAGAGTTAGCGAGCTTGAGGTTATCAATGAGCTGTTCAGGGGCCGACTGAGCCAACTCGAGCAACAAGAAGCAGCCGCCCGACACGGCCAGGAAATCGCTGGTGTTGAACAGACGCAACTTAGGACGCAGCTGGATGCAAGCCAGGAGACTGTAACCCAACTGCAGACCCAGCTCGAAGATAGCCACCGCCGAGAGAATAATTTGAAACGGCGCTTGGACGAGCTGGAGCTGGAGCTGAAAGCAGTCCAGGATGCCCTCGATGGTGACGTAGAGCGCCCGAACAAGAAGCCCCGTATTGGGAACGAGGTGCCTGCAGCAGTTCCTACACCAATGGCAGAGGAAGAACAGCCAGTGCCTCAAGCCGAACCCCAAGCCGAACCCCAAGCAGAGCAACCTGAAGAGCAACCTGAAGAGTCAGTTGTCAAAGAAGAGACGATGACAGAACCAGCAGCAGCGGAAGAGCCGGCTGCCGAGGAGACTATCAACGAGGCCGCTGAAGAGACCAATGAAACGATTGACGAAGCCTCTATCGAAGATGCGGTGCCTGCAGCCTCAGCATCCTAACAAGGACAGCGTCATACTCATGATAATGACTTCTTTTCCTTGATTATCATCACGACGAGTCATCCACGAAGGCCGTGTCTCCCCTTTTTCGGACGTCTTGCGTGGGTCTTGCATCTTGCTGACCTATGCGACATATTACAGTAATATTTTGGCATACGACGAGGTGAGCTCGTTGGCCCTGGTTGTATGCAACAATATGGACAGTTGTGGATAACACGACTGTTTTGTATTATTTATTAATGCACATCATGTCTTTTTTTTTCTGGGTTATTGATCGCCTAACAAGGTTCATATGGATGGAATTATAAACCAAAATGGCGCAGGAAAACTGGGAATAAAAAGCAAATGAATTGATACCATTAGATACCTTCGGACGAGGGCCTTGTTCCTGTCGTGTTAGCACAGCCGCCAGTGACAGGGCAGTCGAGAAGACGGGGAGTTGTTGGCGTATAGGGTCTCAAAGGGTATCGACTAGAGCGGATTGCATAAAAGTGCTCGACTATGAATTTAAATCTTGAGTGGTGGATGCTTGAGCCGACTTGTGTGAGAATCACTTGCTGTAATCTCGCAGCTGTGTCATGCAAAAACATATTTGTCACAACGTACACTTCTTAATAGGCACTACAAAAAATAACGAAGGAAACAATTGGAAGATCAAATCAGCCGTCTATAAATGAGGTGTCGTTGAGTCGTTGGGTCGTTGGCCCGAGTTGCACTACACACATCAACGACCAGGTTTATGCTAGTATTGACTATTTGTTTACCTCAGCCACCAGGGGTGGGTCTCCCGTCTTCAGATCGGGCTCACTCTCAACTCACTATCACAATCACATGACGCGAAAGCACCAATGTGAAAAACTCAGTATACTACTACTATCTGAAGCTCTGTGATCCTTTCCAAAGCCTCCTCCAACAGCTACCTCGATTCATCTCCGTCTTCCCCACAGCTCCGTGCTCAAAATCCCGTTGCGCCACTTCAATCCTGCAAACACCACCAGTCGCGCCGCGCTCGCCTCCTTCACCACCCCACCGCAAACTTCTGTGCTTCACAACCAACATCGCCTCGCTCATAAAACCCAGTGCTAGTAGTATACCACAAAACCAACGCCATGCCTCCCACCATCGCCGCACGCGGCGGCCCCCAGTCGTCCCGTCCACACAGCCTGGTCACGCCTCGCTCCTCCGGCGCAAGCACATCAACCCTCCCCGTCTCCAGAGGCCCAGGCAAGGGCAAGGGCAACGGGGTCGCGGGCAAAACCCCCTTTGCCAAAGGCAGAGCCGCCAGACAGTATGCCGTGCATCTCGTCTCCATTCGACGCACCCGATACTAACCTGCCCAGCCGCAAGATCTTGCGCGACACCATCGACGGGATCAGTACGTCTTCCCCCCCCCAAGGAATGTAAAAAGAAAGGGAAAAAAAAAGCTGACAGCCGTCGACTAGCGAAACCTGCAATACGGTACCTCTAACAAGCTACTCAAGGACGCATCGCGAATGGAGTGGTGAACTAACGCTCGAGGGTAGACGACTTGCGCGCAGGGGCGGCGTCAAGCGCATCTCGGCCGACATCTACGACGAATCCCGCAGGGTGCTTCGGCTGAAACTAGAAGAGGTACGTGACCTTTTTTTCTTTTGTGATTGTACATGTTGCTGACGGTTGTAGATCCTGCGCATATGCGTCGTGTACGTCGAGCACAGGCAGGCAAAGACGGTTACTGTCGACGATGTAAACCCCCCCCCCCTTTTTCCGAGAGGGCAATTTTGCGCGCTGAAATAGCTAATTGCTTCTCAGGTGATCTTTGCCCTGAGGCAAATCGGCAGGCCGATTTACGGGTTTGACTTTCCCACGGATCGACAGAAGTGATGTGTTTCTTTTTTATACAAAGACACTTGCTTTCCGTCGCGACAAGGGGGTTGGTTTGGGGGCATTTAGCATGTTTGCATTTGCATCGATATACCTCGCCTCGATAGCCATGTCAGGGTCTAGTATAGCGGACCGGAAAAACATTGGAACAGGTTTGGGAGGGTCTTTGCTTCTAGTTGGCTTGTTGGCATTACACTGTGGTTTTTTTTTGCGGGGGAGATATATTGGCTTAACGTGTGAGCACGTACTGCCCGAGGATTCTTGAGGATAATGACTTGCTTGTCTACAATATCTGCTGTTTGTGGGGGTATGGTGAGTACGTGGCAGGCTTGCGTACACTGGGATTGAAAAGCATATTGGCCAGCTGTTTATCAAGACGACGTATCATGAATTAACGAAAGTTATTTAAAGGCTCGGGTATCAAAGAATGACCAAAAGTGACCGCCATGCTCGAAAGGGAAAAAATCCCCAAACAGAATTACACACACACACACACACATACCATTCTATTAGAGAATAAAAGATCATCACCTCTTCTTCTTCTTGGCCAGATCCCACTCCGCCACAGCACCCTGCAGGGCCTTGGCTGCACAAACTTCGTCCTTTCGAAACGCCTTATTAAACATGGCCGGCAGCAACATGGTGCTATTGGCATGCTCCAGCGCAAACCCAACCTGCGCGTCCTTTCCACACCTGTCCCTAGCCAAACGGACCGCCTCACGGAGCAACTTCTTGCCGACCCCCTGGCCGCGATACCCGGGTTTCGTGGTCCACGCGCGGATGACGCCCTTCCCACCTCGCAGACTCGCACTGCGGCTGCGGCTCTTGCGCTTGGGATTCGTGGAGGGCGCGCGCTTCGGCTCGAGCCGCAGAACGACGGCACCGACCAGGTCCTCTCCCATTCTTGCGCCGAGAATGATGTCATCTTCGCTGCCAAAGTCGGCGCGCAGCCAGTCCTCACAGCCCATCCTTTCTGCGAGGGTGTCGTAGCCGCTTGTGAGGAAGCGAATGGTGGCCATGTAGATCATTGTGATGCCGCTGACGAGCATGAGGGCTCGGCTTACGTCCCTGCTGGGTATGTAGACGAATTGGTATATGGCCATGTGGGCAGCTGCGACTGCTGCGAGGCAGAGCGGGTGCAAGACGACGGCCTTGGAAGCGCGGTGGCGCATTTCGGAGACGGAGTCGGCTACGAGGCGGAGGCCGTCGAGCTTGTCATTTTGGGATTTGAGGGCATCGAGGGACAGGGGCGGGATGTCGTCGATGGGCGCGAGAGGCGGTTCGCTGGAAGCAGCGGGAGGAGACGGCGACGGCGGCTGGAGCTGAGGCGGTTGGGGAGAAAAGGGTTCCAGATATGGCGTGTTGTAGTTGGAAGAGAGTGCCGACGGGGACAGGGCGAGGTTTGCCCGCAGAAAGGTGAAGAATGCTATCGAGGTTGAATTAGCGAGTGCAGGCATGAGATGAAGCTACCAGACCGCCCATGCGGCCTGGCGGAAGTGTGGTGGTATTCCGTGGCTGTCCATGTCTGTCTGTGATGTCGGCAGGGATGGAAGGATGTGACAGGCGCGCGCGACAACAGCGGCATCAAACAGAATGTTTTGTTTCGTCAATGCATGAATACGAGTCGCAAAACGCAAAAACTGGGCTTCTCTAGCTCATGCTGGTTTCAAGTGACTCGAGATAGCCAGACGGTGGGAGGGATGCATGGTGCGGTCCAACATGGGCAGCTCCGGTGCAGCTCCCCAAACAGCCAAAACAAGCTCCAGACCGCCTCAGGCCCGCAGGGCATCCACCTTGGAGTTCGACGGGTAAAGTCGAGCTGTGTCAGGTTGATGAGGATTTGCATTAACCGCACGCAGCACAGCATGACAGCGTTGGCCGCCGTGGTACATCGTGGGAAAAAGAAGACGACATCGGGACGTCGAGTTGAGAATGAAAAAAGGTGGAAGAAAAAGAAAAAAAAGCCTGGCTTACCTGCACTGCTGCGCAGCCCCGGCACGACGCCGACTCGCGTGGCAACCGATGCCGGGCCGCAGTTGCTCAGATCCAGCTCTCGCACGTAGCCACGCTCCATGGCGAGCAAGAAAAAAAGACGAATATAAAAAGGAGGAGTGGACGGCGACTCAAAGTCCCGCCAGCCGTCTGCTTGCACACACACGCTCCGTACAAGAAAATAAGTAGGTGTCGTATATTAAACCGTCTATTCCGTAGTGGTGGAGAGCAACACACGCCTGTTGGGCTGCACTCCCCGGTCCCTTCATGGAAGGGAAGCAGAGAAATAAAAGAAGCCAAGGACACACAAAAAAAAAAAAAGAAGAGGGACTATGGCGAGAGAGAGAGGAAAGAGTAGATAAAAGGGCAGAAAAGGAATCAAAGGGTTAAAAACGTAAGTGACGAATTCCAGACATGGAGCCGCAACGCACGGCGTTGTTTGGCTGGCGCCACCTCCGGCTTTCCATGTCACTCGACGTTTGACTCGGCCTTGTCTTTGGAGGGGTTTTTTTTTCTTTTTGTTCCCTCGTGTCTCAGACTCTGGCAATGGCCCTCCACACACCTTGATACGTTGACACGGATGCTGCCATTGGATAGATGCTCTTGCAACCCTCGGTACCGACACGCTGGGTCTGGCTGGCGGTCGTCACCTAGGTCTAGAGTCTTGTATGCATGTACATACACAATACATACATACGGAGGGCATACGCGGCCCCGTCCAGAAGCTGTTCACGGTCCTCTTGCTGGACAATGGCCAGCAAAAGCCACGTCGATAGTCTGAGGCGGGCGGCACGGCGGGCGGCACGCGGAAGGGAGGGAGCTGTCGTCTCGCGTGATTGACCGTCACTTGTACGAATCCGCAAGCCGATAGAGAGACGATCCATGCGTCGACTGCGCCGGCGGATAGCCGATCAATGGATGACGAGGCAAAGGAACCAAACGGCATCGGCTCGTGATTGGCGAATTCGTGCTTGCTTCTTTCTCTGCGCATGAATCAGGACAAGAGTCAAATCAGGGTTTTGTCTCTCAACTTGCATCTTCGTCCTGTGTCCTGCGCCTTTGTCTGTCCGCCCTGGCCAACCTGCGCCATCCTGTAAAGACAAAAAAGGGCGGGTTCACATGATGGACTGTTGAGCAGCGGGCCATGGCAGAGCCACCTGCTCCATACCGCCATGATCCATCATTGTAGGTGCCCATGGTGACGATCACACCGTCATCATCGCAACGGGCTTCACTAGCAGATATGTGAATTGCGTCAAAAGGGCAGGCAGCCCCTCCTCCCCCCAGGTGCCCCTTCCCTGTCGCTCCCTTGCTCCCTGGCACCTGCTGGCCTGGCCCCTATCGCCGCGGGCTGCTTGAATTGACGGCGGAAGTGGTCATGTATGTATTGCACAATACAGGAGCCAGATAAGCACATCTTGTATCGCCAGCAAAGATAATCTTGACCAGACCCTACAACAGCACCGAGGTCGCTTGCGTGGCGTCCATGGCGTCCCCAGAGCATCAAACGTGCTCACCACAACCTCGACTGGGCTTGCCGCACCAACATCCAGCCCCTCATCTTGACCCAACATTTTGACCCCAGATGCTCTTTTTTGCCGGGGGCGTTTTTTCTTTTTAATAATGATTAAAGTAATGATAATGTATTTTATCATGGAGGACCATGCAACATACACAACTACCGAGTATTATGAACCCCCTGCTGCAGGCATTCATTCCCCACGAGCGGACAGTCATCGCAACCTGGACATTCAACAGATCAGCAACGGGCACGTGCTTGTGTCGTCCCAGCCTCATCAGCATGCCGCCCGGGAATCCTACTGGTCGTTGCTCCGTACTAACAATGATACTCCTTGTTGAGAGCCACCACCACCATCTCGACCCATGAGGGGGCGTTGAAGAAAGGCGTTCACGACCAATCAGCCGGCTTCACGGAGGTGCTGGGCCTTGCGGACGATTCAAGAACCACCTGTCACCGCGCCAAGCGATGCACATGCAGGCTTGCAGATGCAGTACTAGTCGAGACAAGACCGTCAACGTTGATAACAAAAATGCCATCCATTTGCCCGCTACTCCGCGGCATGTAGCCTAATGCTCCTGGCCTATTAGTATGCATCTTTCAAACCCCCAACCACCACCACCGTCGAATGGTTAGTCAAACGGCTATGAGAGAGGGGGGTTTGTGAACAGACCACGCAACACATGGATTGCTTGTCACTTCAACTTCATCTACAGGGTAGGCCTACGGAGACGCGGTCACATCGTTCTCTTCCGCTCCCCGAACGGTAGTACCGGTAGCATTACAACTTTTCTGTATTGTTTGGTCCTTCCAATCACACACTCGTACCAACTTCCCCAGTTCGTAAGGTCCAGAAGCTTTTTTTTTTTTTTTTTTTGGGCCAAATGGGTACGTACCTAGTAGTACTCTGTAAAAGAGATCGTGACTTTCGCCACGTGACAAAGGCATTTATTTTCTCTCATGTTCACATCTCTTCGTCTTTCCCACGCCACACGCTCCTCAATCCGACAGGTAAGTTACCGGCCGTTTCTTAGGGCTCCACGACCATGAACTCATTTAGGTGATGGCCTTGCCATTCTCTGCAGGAGGTACCTTTAGACCACGTCCACGGCGTCTCTAAAGAACCCGCCGACCCATCACCACTACGACCACAAGCAACAAAGGCCAGCGTCATACACTTACAACCGACCGCCATTCCAAGTACGACGGTGGGCTACCATTGTTATGACTCGCAGCCTCCTAATTTGCTTTTCCTAAACCAGATGGTCCGAATCAGCGTTTCAAGTGATGCCTTGAAAAGCATCAACGACGCCGAGAAGCAGGGCAAGCGCCAAGTCATTATCCGCCCTTCTTCCCAGGTGATTATTAAATCCCTTGAGCTCATGCAGAAGAAAGGCCATGTTTCAGAGCTCGTGGCGACAAAATTGTCGTTTAATTTACCACCGGTTCGTTCTCGCCGTCCCCTAATAGCTCTTGTGAATCGTCTTTGATCAAGACCCTGTTCTATGTTAGTGTCAACAAGTGCGGCTTCATTAGTCCTCGTTGTAACGTGCGACTGGTAGATATGGAGAAATGGGTTGTTCGACTGCGGCCTGCCCGCCAGTTCGGCCACGCCGTGCTTACTACTTCACTGAGCCTCCTCCATCCAGCATGTCTTTTTTCTTCTGTGCTGTGTAAAACTGCCTATTCCGCGCGTAAACGCTCCTTTAGCCTTTTCCGGGTGCTGCTGTCATGGTGATGCTGATCCTGTTTGCGCTCACATACGGCCCAAGGTCCAGGTAGAGCAGGTCCATTCTGCGCGGGCAGCGTAGGTTCACAGCCAACCACAGCAGGGTGACTGGCCAACACTTTGAAGGAGGCATGATGGGGGTCTCCATATGCACGCGGACAGCTTCTTTGGACTCATGGGGAATCTTTTCCGCAGCCTGTCTGTATCTAGGAATAAGGGTTCCAAAGGAACCATGGGCACGTGGTTTTCTGGTAATCTCGAAGCTATACATGTAGCTGATTTTCAGATTCTGTTGCATTTCCAGGCTTGGAGAGGCCGGTTCTGGCGTCTAATAGCCATGTGAATCGGAGGAGCAACGGGACTTGTGGACACACGCACCGATCCAAGATGAACCACCTTGTGGCTCCCGGTCAAACTACTTACTGGAGCTCTCTGCTCGTCTCGGAACACAGCCTGTACTTCGTCCGCGGTAATTAAACTCTTGCCGTTGATATAAGAAAACGGCTAAGTGAATGAAATTCAACACAAAGAAAGACACTAGGCAGCTAGGACCATGATGGGAACATATTTGTGCTATGAACCCGTTGGGTGACGTAGAAGGGAAAGGAAGGAGCCATTCACTCCTCCATGTTTGTGAACAGCAGACTATTAATTCATCGACTAGTGGCCCCCGTTTTTACCCCAAACTCGCCGGGCGCGCCCCCACACGTCAACGGACAGCCCTACGATGCGTCCGAGCCAAAGAGAATGCGCGTCAGACTACCAACTTATGTACGTACGTTTCGCGGGGTTGACATTTTTGTAGCCGTATTGAGTAATTTGTGTAGCCACCCTATCAACCCTCAGGGTCACATGTAGTACCGATTAAAACGAATCTAAGCATCGCAAGTGCCTCACATTTGACGCGATCCGAATGATAGCCCCCTCCCCCACCCCCAGCGAGATGGCACCCACACGTACCCAACCGGCCAGCCGGCCCCACCAAGGGAAGATAGCTGGCATGGTATGATTGCAACAGACATTCTGCTGGCCATCCAGCCTCATCAGCTCAAAAACATCTGTTCGGGTCACGAGAACCGCTCATATAGAAAGAACCGGCTGTGGCTCTACGAGACCTGTGGAGCAGAGCAGAACCAAAGGTCCCAAGCAATAACGTGTGTATGTATTTTCAGCATGATTTAACCCTAACCCTCTTATAGTGGAGCTGCTATCGGCCA